TCGCATGTTATATGACCTCCTCCCCTAAGCGACCATCTTGTCCTTTCGCTTTCAGGAGAGTTGACTGTACAGTCAAACCTAGTTAATATGGACACTGAGGCGGCATCCATATTAAGCAGGGATGGCACTAGGATTTTTCAATCTGGGTTCTCAGACTCACATGTCCGGTCAAATTGAGGTCCCAAGCATTTTGGGTGGGTCCCAAAATCTTGGTGACTCTCCCCTGAGAAATTCTTTTTGTTGTTGTTATGAGAAAGAGTGACTGGCAAATTTCTGTCATACTGTTAACTCGACCAGCACAATCAATCAAACAACAAACAAACGTGGCGGAAGCTCATTGAAGTTTCCTGGATGTGTTAATCGTCTCCAGTCCCCTTTGCGTAATTAAATCCAATATGGCAGCCACGATGTGAATTTGCTTTGTTCAAAATTTTTTTTACATGTCACTCAAACAAAAAAATCTGTTCAAGATTCAAAGTAAATGGAGTGAGTTCTTCAAGTCAATATCTTGCATCCTGGGACACATTAAAATTTTAATGATTCATTTTTTGCATTTCGTTTGCGTGAAAATGCGCGATTTCTGCGTTAACGTGATCTCTGTTAAGTGGGTTGAATTTAGAGAAAATGTTTAAAGGAGATGTTCATTCCAAAATGGCAGGATTTTTTTTTTTGCCAACAGATGGATTATATAAAGGTAGGTTACTCACCGAACTTCCAACTTTTGAAGAACTTTCCAACCCTATGAAATTCTCTTCTAAATTTGCCAGAAATTCGAAATCTGGCGGTCACCATCTTGGAGAACTCCTAGCAGCCTGGTGACGAGTATGTGACGTCAATGCGCTCAACCAGAGTTTGGCAGAAAGTTTAAATCACTCATAACTTCTTGTTTCTTCATTTTGGAGCTGCACAAGAGGTCATGACCAGAGAAAACACAATCCGAAATGAAGAGAAAAGAAGTGTTGAATGATTTAATCTTTCTGCCATACTCGGGTTGAGCTCATTGACGTCACATACTTGTCACCAGGCTGCTAGGAGTTCTCCAAGATGGCGACTGCCAGGTCTTGAATTTCTGGCTTCTTCAGACCAGAATTTCATAGGGTTGGAAAGCTTTTTGGAAGTTAAAATTTCACTGAGTAACCTACCTTTGTATTATCTTTTTGTTGGCGAAAAGAAAAAAACTGCCGTTTTGGAAAAAACTTCTCCCTTGAAGGGCCTTCTTTGCCTAGGGATAAAAGAAGCTTTCCATAATGATGAGGTGCCTATATTTAGTGGGTGTTCGCAAATCAGGGTTAGTGACTGTATTAACTTAAAATTCTGCTTTTCTTCCTACAGATGTGGCAATTCATTTTGCGCGACACACCGCTATGCAGAAGCTCACAGCTGTACATATGATTACAAAAGTGAAGGAAGGAAAATAATAGAACAGAATAATCCAGTTATAGCTGCTCCTAAGCTACCAAAAATATAAAGGTTTCTTCTTTTTCAAGGTGTAATTTTATATAATAAATGTGCTTGTAAATACTTTAAGTTTGGTAAAATACTGCAATGAAATAGAACTTGTAGATAACAAAGTGTACAATTTCAGCAATAAGAATACATCAGCACCACCCACATCATATGTCATGACTTCTTTTGTCTCAAAATATCCATTCATTCACAACACTGCATCATACATAGTTTGGCTATTCGGTTTTATTTTCCATACATGGTACTTTCCGTGTTATTGTTTAAGTGTCTTAATGGTGAGAAAAAGCAGCTTTGCTTATTTTTTGTTGATTGTCTTTATTTTGTATATTCTGCTTTCCTATTACTTTATCTTTGTTGAAAGGTCTTTAATTCAAATTTAGCAAACCATTTCAATATATATTATTGTTCACTTTCATTTGAGCAATGTCGTTTTTGTTTGTTTCAATAATCAAGGTATCATATTGAGGACATTTTTATTGTAGTCTGGTGTTATGATTGGAGAAAGTGTGATATCATAATGTCTTTTAAAAAACTCTTGTGAGGTTTCTAGATCCTTGTTTTCATTTGAGAAGTTGAAATGTATTTTCCATGAACATCACATTAATGATATTGTACATAGCTATGGGCAAGTTATCCTATGCATACTGGTTGCTTAAAATGGCTGGTGAAAGATTATTAAATAAAAAAAATTAAACAGAGTTATCATGTTGTTAATTATTTCCATTTACGTTGGAATAAAGAGGTCTATAGTTTTGGAATGGTTTTCCAAATCAGCCAGATAAAACCTGAGGAAAATAGGGTGTAGTTCCTGTTTCATTCTGAATGGAGTTCTTGCTATGGTTCAAAAAATATGTTTGTTAACCCCAAACCTTCACAAAAACTACAAATTCGTTCGGGCTGTATAGGAAAATATTAATCCTAGGAGACCAACATGTAGCTTCCCCCAATCTTTTATAGACTTTTGTGAACTTTGTGGCCTGAAAATCACATCTCACTGTCTCTGAAAACAAATTTTCTTTAGGAAAGCAAATATACTTAACATTTATAGTGTTTTTATGTTGCTGATGTTCAGGTGATGAAAGCTGTACCTGTGTTATAGTTTTTTTTTAATTGGATGTGCCATATACCGGTAGTTTGAGTTTGAGAATACTGGACAATAATTATATTTATTTATAGAAATTGGTGTACCAGGTGTTGGCTCTGAAACAAGTTGATTTAAGTTTAAAGGGTTGCCATTCTTTTTGTCATGGTTAGATGTGTGGGTTGCATTTTGCGTTGTATTTTTGTGGTGTTGAAATGGGTAAATCAGTTCCTCATAAACTCAAGGGTGCAGTTTTCTGTCTGGTGACATCTCATAGAATCATCAAACAAGATTGTTTCCCAAACAGCAAGAAGCACCTAATTTCTCCTAGTCCATGAGTAGGCTCGTGCTCTCCAGAGAAACAGCTTTCACCATTTCTAAAACTAATAGGGAGTTTGCTTGCAGGCTGAAATTCCCTTTCTGGTATTATATTAACAACATCTAACTACTAACATTTAAAACTGTACAAGAGTACTGATATAAATGTGTAGGGTGTATACGACCTGTTCTGTAAGGCACTAGGTTTAAAAACCACCAGAATCATTAACTGGACAATTCACGCAACCTTTATTTTTCAAACATCTTGTCATTACAAATTATGAAATAAAGTATCTTTAAATAACATCTTTTTCAATAACACCAAATCCTTTCAAATTCCAAAATACACTATGTACATGGTGTGTTTGGTATTTTTTTGCGTGAAAACACAACTGTGAATAGGTGCAAAAACGGCATTTTAAGGTTGATGGCCACTTTACTCTAGTTCATGCTATTTTCCAAGTTCTTTTTCTTCCTCTTCGACTTTGTCCTCCTATGCTACATGGTCTGCTTGCTGACTGTGTAACCTGGGAAAAAGGCAGAGGAAATAAGCATTATTGTCGTTATCATCCCCTGTGTGAACAACTCTCTTAATCTGATTACAAGTGCTTATAAAATAGCGTTTCTTTGCCCTTTTCTCCTCTGCCTTAGCTTGTTCCAGGCGGACAGCGGAAAGAGACCTGAGCAGGAAAAACAGCAAGGGGGTGAGACTAGTGAGGGAATGTTCTCTCCTTGATGCCTCTCTCCCTCTCTTCCTCCTTATATTCCTCCCGCTCCCTGACTCTGATATCCGAACACCTGGAACAGCCTTCCTCTTCTCCTCTGCCTGAAAAGTTACCATACTTCTTAGGCAAGAACAAGCAGGAAGAGACAAGGGACTACCAGAAATATGTCTGTGTTTGCAGGCTATGCACTTGCAACAGTCTAGCTATTTGGTATAAGATTGTGAAAGTCATGTTAGCTCGCAATCTGAATTCATGTTGTGTTTGCAAGAATTTTCGTGGGATGAGGATGACATATGCTATGAGCCCCATTTTCAGAAGTTAATTTGATTCAACTGTTTACGCTGACCATAATTCTATACTAATGTCATTTTCTGACTACTATGTCACTACCATATCTGAACTATTTCTACACCTTATTTTGGGTTGTGTGATTATTGTCAGGTGGTCGCTTGGCGATGGCCCCATAGATGGTTTTTAACATTTTTGATACATTAAAAAAACGTAAGTCACTTTGTTGTGTTTATTTTTGCATGGGCTGTTGTTTAGTAGTCCTGAAACTTTTTTAACATTCCCTATATAATAAATTGTCTAGGTGCTACTTTGAAAAAATCAGTTACTTCAGTCTGTCACAACATCAATCTGAAAGGAATCATATGCAAACCTTTCTTTTGCAATTATAACCAGAACTAGTTTCTAATGCTGCGCACACTGACAGGGCTGTGCCCTTACAGAGCCGGTACTCCGGATTTCAAGTGACAGGGATGATCAAAGGATTTTTTGGGGTTGAAAAATTTTGGCACATATTTTTTAGGGTAGCATGATTTAAATACAGATTTTTTTGGGTCAAAACAATCTGAAGATTCATGATAGTTCCTATGTATCCCGGCTGCATAGTTCCGGGGAATAAATTTTTATAGCTTGGAAATTTTGCATGGGATTTTTTGGGGGTTAAATATTGGTCCAGGAATTTTTTTGGGTTTGGTTTGAAGCCCTAGGGACTTTTTGGGGTTGTCATTCCATTCACTTGAAATCCAGAGTACGCTCCCCTGGGGAGCCCACTAGCACCTGGCACACAACTTTTGCTCTCAGGTGACTTGAAAATCTTATTTTTTCATGCAAATTAATGGTGCGCTGGTCACTCTATATTTTACAGATTCAGAGTACTGGGCTCCCTTCAGTTTTCCTTAGAGCATAGCATTATATACACAATGTAAGTGGATAAGAAATACTAAGGAGGAGGTTAGTGGGTTCAGATAAATGAAGAAGTTACAGAGTCTTAATTTACAACAACATCTCTAACTGAGCATAGGTATTGTTGATGTCCTCTAACTTGCTGTTCTTTTCCTGATTGTTACATGCTTCTTTCTAACTTCTCAAACTGCTCTACACATACAGTTTGTCATCAGAACTTACGACGTAGAACTTGAATGAGTGCCTGATCGAGGTTTGCTTCCAGGAACTGCTGAGCATGGTCTGGGTGTTGTCTGCCAGTGGGCATCATCATGTAGTGGGGATTTCCGTGGTGCTGGTGTACGGGACCTGAAGTTTCGTGAGTTGGACTTTCCTGCAGATGCCATATGCCTTTCACTTCGACTGCATCGAGGAGCCTTCTCTTCTGCTTTTTAATCGAGGCCAGTGCATTTAAATGGCAAGACAGCCATAATGAATTACTGTTGCTCAATAAAACAATGTTGAAACATTTATGGCTGAGGAGGGGAGGGGGGTTGGGGGGCTTGACGATAAGCAAAACCAAAGAATGGGAAATAAAACAAAGGTTCCCTGACCGACTCCCCTGCATGGGTCTTTAGAGGATGGCTAAAACATTGAACTGTAAGCCGAACTTACCTGTGTCCGTTGTAATTTTGTCATTTGGACCCGCATACCTGTGAAAAACAAAACAGTTATAAAACACCAATAATAAAATTGAAGTGTTTCCTGAAAAAAAAACTTATTAGCTCATCAATAATAAGCAAAGTATGGTCAGATATATTATTAATTAAGAAGCTGGGACAGTGCACATACCAAGGATTTTGGTAAAGATGTGTGTGCCTATCTTCTGTGGCTTGTCTGAACTCGCCACGCTGAAAGAAGCAAAAATTAATATTATTATTTTTGTGTTTTTACTTAAAACAAAACACTGTAAGGAAGTGTGCGATCATACCTTGATTTGATGTCCACTTTTTAACTGTCGATAGTCAGTGTAAAACTGTAATCCCCACCCAATTTCACCAACCTGCATTAACACATGTAATAACAAATAATCATATATATTCCAACTAACTGATGTAAAAGTTAAAAAGAGATAAAATATAGGCTGCATTTTTTTCAAAAAAATGTTCTCTTAAATTATAGACAAACACCAGCAAAAACACTTGTGGCTGTTACTTAAAATATTGGTGAAATAATATTCTTTGTCGTCAGCTTACCTTCACAGACTTTGGTAGTGGATGTGGGCAGCTCTATAAAATGAATGGATATTAAAGTGAGGAATTTTATAAACATCATTGCTTTGTCATTGATCAGCAAAAGGTCTTCTTCCTCGCATGTCTGCCTCCCTCGCTTGTTCTCTTGTAACATATGTCAAGTGCCATGCCCGACACTTAAGAAAGGGTCTTAGTCAGTGGCGTATCCAGGGAAGGGGCCCGGGAGGGCTTGGCCCCCCTTATTTTTAGAACAAAATGAAAAAAATTGTTTTTGAGAACGCTCTTTCCTTCCCCCTTATCTCAGGGACTGGATCCGCCACTGTTAGTAATATAATAAAATGTGATTTCAGATTTTAAGTATGGTGTCTGTTTAGTACCTTCGATGGTCTCCACAAATAGTTTAGATCACTGGTCCCTTCTGGGGACATTGTTCCAATTCCAACGTATGTATTGGGATCGAGAACCGTAGCTTGATGATCTCGAATGCCATCGGGACCTTTAGTAAAGCAGAGAAAAAGTTATCTTAAGCAATATTGATTTGATGATATTAATAACCTCAGGTGGTTCTATATTCAAAATTAACTATAATTGTTGATGCCAATATTTTAACCGCAGATAGAGTTAGCTAGAGTTAGAACTTTCTACAAACAATGGAGACGTAGTCAATGAAACCAGTTCCATTGTCTCCTTCCACATTTGATTCGGTCCTCAAGATTTTAAAGGACACATAATCAGCTTCTTGTACACCACCTAAACTATAAAAAACAGGAAATCTCTTCAGTAAACCTAAAATTAAAATTTTCACAGTCAGGGATCTCTTTCTGCCTCGCTATGCACAGCGTTCCGTCAGCTCGCGTACAATTGATTGTCATTGTTTCTTGGAGTGGAGACAATTTATTTGAAGGATGAATAGAGAAACGTTTGAGACAGCGGCTTGTGTACTTTGTAAACTTAAAGGATATGAGAGATAAAAAGATTATAGAGCCGGGCATTCCTACAGTGCAAAGATAGCGGCAAAAAAGCTATTCTCTGTTTCAAATGATTTTGGTCTGATTAAACATGGACTAACAAATATCTCACCCGTGAAAAGAACTTCTCCTCGACCGATGTAAGGATTATAGTATTTATCCGATCCTCTCCACGACAAAACGCTGGCCTTTTCATGATCAGTCATTTTGTTTTCCCTCCGGCTGCCGCCTTCAGCTGACTTGAACGCTGTTGCTGGGCAACGAAGTTAATAGAATTCCATCCCGCTGTCACGCAATGTGATTGTTTGGTACTCAGGGTGATACCTACTACCAGCATACAGGTACTACTCCCTTTTTTGGGTTCACTTTTGCTGTTCTAGACTAGGCGCCAAAATTCAGTTTCAAACGTGCCCATCCCTCCCGGTCATTTTTCATTTTTTTTCTTCGGAAAATTGCAAATACTAATAATTCAGTTGGATCGAGAATCTACTGGAAGCAATTATTCATGCTTTTGTGACTACCAACTTGGATTACTGTAATGCGATTCTATATATATATATGGACTACCTAAAGTTCTCTTAAACCACCTAACATTCACCAAGAAGTATGAACATATAATACCCAGCTTAACAGACTTACATTGGTTGCCTGTTGAAAATCACTTTTTTAGAAAATCTTATTGTTGGTATATAAGGCTATCAATGGACTTTCACCAGGTTATATATCCAATTTCTGCAATTAACTCAGTTTTTGTAGCAGCTCCAACCATTTGCGTTCTAGCTCGAATAAGTTACTTTAAGTCCCGAGATCTAAGCTAAAGTCTTATGGTGATCGAAGATTTTCTATTGCGGGACCTAAATTATGGAACAACCCGCATCTTTAAGGTGATTCCATAGTAAAAGAACCTAACATAGATTTTAGCTAAAACTTGGTACACTGATGTAACAAGTCAAGAAGATGATAAAAAAGTAATAAAAAGTGGGGGTCACCGTGCTCGTTTTGACGTCACAATGCTGACAAATACGGCTATTTAGGACCCTGTTACAAAAACCGCGGGCAGTGCAAAACTAGACAAAAAGGAGACATTTTTTCGATGATGCATGTGACATCACACAGAATTTGACTTTAATGTATTATTTATCCACTTACGTACCAGAAAAATGCCTTTTAATACCCTTGTTTTTACTTTACGCTCCAAAGTAGAATTAAATTGGACGCGCGCTTTTCGACCCGTGATGGCTCAATCCGTACAAATTAGTAAAATTGCCAAAAAACTGAACATAGATTTGTGCCAATTTTTTTCTCATCGAAAGGAAGCACTGTCCTTATTAAAATCATGAAATAAAAAATGGGGGTCACCGTACTCGTGTTTGCGGTAGAGCTGCAGAAAGTGCGCACCAAACGCATTTTCTCCGATTTTTGAGAGAGGACTGGGGCGAGTCTCAAAATAGAATGTATGTGAAAGGGGGAAGAAAGTATTAAAAAATCCGTTTTTACAGAATTTACATCGAGATATCTCATTTAGGACACAATGTGATAAAGAAAGTGTTTAAATGAAAATCAAAGTGAGTAAGCACAAGTTAAACATCCACTATCGAGGTTCTGCGAGAGGAGGTCGAACTCAGCAACACGCGTACTGCTTACGTTATGCACATTCCCAACACATTGAGTCTCACCTCGGCAAGAAACAACAGCAAGCAAAAATTCCAATAGCGTTTCTCTTCAGTCAACTTCATTTTAATAGTATTACTTCACATGCTCTTTTTTACGGCGGCCATCTTGTTATGCGCAGTAAGAGATGCGCAGTGCAAAACTAGGGAATCACCTTAAGAAATGCCGATTCCTTGAATTCTTTCAAAAAACACTAAAAACATATTTATTTCACCAAGAAGCTTTTTCTTTATTTATAAAAAGATTTTTATTCAATTTTCATACTTATTTATATAGATTTTTTAGAGTTTTAGTACATTGTAAAGCGCCTAGAACAGTTAATGATATGGACGCTATATAAATAATACAGTGATACCGTGAAATCCCACAGTGGACGTTGAGGCTCACCGTTTTGTGCGAACGGGGCTGAAAATCGAGAGCAGACGGCCAGGGAATTGTAGTGTCTGTAATGGGGAATGGGACCTCTTTCCCCTAGACTACGAGTAGTCCCCCATGTTTCCTCAGGGATAGTAGAGTGAGCGAAACGCGAGCGGGCGTGAAAATCACCCCACGCCTTTTCTCGCGTGGGTGATTTTCACGCGCGCTCGCGTTTCGCTCGCTCTACTATCCCTGAGGAAAAATGGGGACTACTCGTAGTCTATCTTTCCCCCACTCCTTTGCTATACTTCCTCGACTCGCTTCCGTGCGCTTCGCTCGGCGATGTTTTTTGTCCGTTTTTCCCTACCAGGGGACCTAGTTCCAGGCTTATGAAAATGTGTGCAAATGCCGCAAATGCCCCACCCAGGAAACGAAGCAATGGGTATGTCTGCAAATTCACATTGGGCGCTAATGTACATGGTAGACATGGTAGAAACGTTTTTACAGCTAGGGTCATAGGCTCCTGTGAATGACAAATTATCCCAACCCTGTACCTTAAGCATAACTTTGATGGCAAATTCCCCATCGTGAGAGCAAAATAAATGCTCGCCTTGAGTCCTGCCTTGCTGACCAGTGAGCCAGGGACTTCCGAATCTTTGTACCGGTACCATACCACTGGTCAATTCCCCTTAATGTACCTTATTCTAGATCGTTTTATACATATGCAAAACAAGCAAACAAACCCACAGAAACTCAGAATTTTTAAAAATGTAATTACTGTATTTTTCTTCCTGCGGGTAGTTATATTTTCCATGGGCTCCTCTATTCTCAGAAAAAAAATTATTATGGCCATGGATTTTTCACAGCGGCTCCTCCAGGAGTCTCCGAGGACCAACTTATGATACATCTTCCCTTTTTACCCTTTTACCAGTTCAGCCCAGCCGTAGCCTGTTCCTCCAGAGTGTGGAAGATGCGAAAGAGAAAGGCGAGCGAAAAGGGGGGCGGGGCGGGAAAAGAGGACAAAGGAAGTTTCCTCCTGGGTTTTTTTCTTGTTTGCGCTTTCTCAAATTCTACGGACCCGACTATCTCGGAGCCTGGTCTGTGCCTGCCCGAAGAAGGGAGGGATGAGTTCAAAGGAGTTCATTGAATAGTCTTACATGACGCTGCCCCTGCATTTTCGATCAGTTGCCCCGTACATTGCACTGCCAAGTTAGCAGAACTTGAAGGAAGTGAGGCACTCTTGTGAGGGTGAAAAAAGGTAGGATTTTTGGCACTATTTACTCTTGTCAGTCTAACAGGAGGGGGAAACTTCTCATTAGTCGTTTATCTATCCATAGCAGGGAGAAATTAGATCTAGAATTTTGGTATATGTCGTGAAATCGTCGTAGTCTTGGAATATCACTTGGTCACGGCACATGTTGCGCGTGGCTAGTGGTATGGTATGACTTCTGTTCATGTTGAATTCTTACGCCTTGAATGCCATCATACGGGAGCCATAACTTGCGTTCATATCAGTAGTAGTATAAGATAATTTCGTTAGATTCACAACTGGTTTCCAGACTTAACAAGCGATTAATCTCGGTTATTGTATATTTGAAAAATATTGACTTGAGAGTGCATGCCGGCCATCAATTTCATATGGTTGAGGGGAGTTGACGAAAATCGTCTACTTATTTCATCATAAAGCCTACCTAAAACAATCATTGATTCCAGGGTATTCATGTGCATTCTTATTTTTTCGCTATTTGTCTTACATTTCGCCTAATTGCAATTTCACTTGCTAGATTTCCACGTTACGTTGGCGCGTCGTTAGTAATACTTGCTTGAGAAACGCAAAATGCTATAAATTCTTCCAGTCCATTTGTACTTTCGTTATCTTTGAATTGTTGGTTCTCTAAAGGGTTTTTTTAAAAATAAACCTTAGATTCGTTTAATGGAAAATTTACCATAATTCTTAACATCAATCGTTGATAGTACAGAAATTTGTCAACAATTTATTGCTTGAAAACTTTTATGTCGAGCAGTGTATCATTTGTAAATTTAATAACAGTAATATAAGAGTAGCAGGAAAAATGTGTTGTTAGTCATCTCATGACCATGGGATGAACTAAAAACACATTTTGTATCTGACAGCATGTTGGAGTCAAGCATGTTACTAATCACTTGTTAAATTCCTGGACTTTCTGTTCCTTATGAATGGATCTACAGGGCTGTCACTCAAATTTTAAATTGCTTGGTATGTACAATACTAGTGAGCTTACATAACAGGATGGGAGAGGGAAGAAGACGGCAAACCTTGTGTGACAAGCCTGACAATAATTTTGTTAGAAAAAACTTTTCACAAAACAAACTTTACTTTACTTTAAACAGATCTTTTTGTAAAAGATCAGAAAACATTAATGTTAAGTGAGGATCGCTGCAAAACATGCAAGTAATAGCCCTGTCACATTTGTTACACACGAGAGTTTTGCTGTCCCCTTCTTCCTGCCATCCTATTGTGTAAACTCACTATTATTAGTAGGCGGGGACTTCAACATCTAGGAAATTTGAGTCTGACTGGATTTGAAGTCATGCATGTTACCAATCACTTGTTAAATTCCTGGACTTTCGTTTCCTTATTAATGAGCCTACACGGTTGTCACTAAGACTTTGAATTGTCAGGTGACTGTATGCAACAATTTTATTTATTATTATTAGAAGGCGGGGAAAGAAGGAAGTCTTTCTAGCTCCATTTGGCTGTTCTCATGATACCACAAACAATGTCCTTTCTGGATTGAGTTCATCTAATCTCCATACATTTCTACATATTTGTTTACATTATTGGCCACTTTGAAATCAAGAAGGGAAACTGGGCCAAGTGGAATCATCCCTGAGGACGTGCTACTCAGCTATTTGTTTTCCCTGTCCCCAATAACAGTCTCAGAATTCTTTGCTTAAGTTAACATGACCCAGGTTCCTTTTTGTTTCTAAAGCGGTGAATGACACTAATGTCAAAATTTGTTTCTTACGAGTCATTTCAGAAAGAGATCTTTTCAGTTTTCAATCCGTATAGAATTCTTTCTCGTTTTTTCTTTTATTCTTGTATCGTGTAATCTGAAAATCAGTTATTCAAACTTTCCAAACCATGTACAGCACATAGTTTACGGATGAGTGGTGCATCTGATCCGGTACAAAAACCAGGCAATTAAGAACATCTTGGGCTGAGCCAGTATTTTTTATTGTGCCATGGGAGTGAAGTATGAACTTCATTCTGTATTAATTGGAACTTGTCCCAGTGTCATTTGAATAGTCCCTCTTTCTTATTTGCTTCCAATGAAAGTAGCTGGGGATCATACTTAGCCCTAGCATTAGCATTAGATCTGTGCATCAAAAACCACAATCTATCCAAAATGTCGTACAAAAAGGCTAAGCTTTTAGCTAAGATATAACATATCTATTGTGGCCCTTGACACTTTCTTGGAATAGCATTGATACTTGTTTATAGCGAAAGGAGGTTTTCAACTCCTTTTAGTCCTTGTATTTTCCAGGTATCACTCTAAAGTTATGTCCCTGCATTTATGTACAATACTTTTTGAAACTGTGAAGCTTGTAGCTCAAGTTAAACAATATGTTTCTTTAAGAGATACAGTTTTGAATACCTTCTATCCTTTGTCTTGTTTTGTTTACTTCTCTACTATTTTGTTTCTTTTGAAAATATTATCTTTTCAATAGGAATTCATGAACCTTGAAAATTTCTATAAAGCTCTATAGTCAATTGTATTTTATTTTACTTTAGACAATGGCTAAAGTTCCACCAAAGTATGATGACCTTGGCAAAGAGTGTAGGGATGTTTTTGGCAAGGGATATGGTAAGCTGTGCAAAAAATCAGCTAAAGTATGTGATTTTACATTTATTTTTGGTTTATGGAAAACAATGAAATGGTGACCTTATTGATGCAATGTAAATTAAGTCACTTACATTATACAAGCATTAATATAAACTAACACATCCACATGTACTGATCACATGAGTGGAAATGTTTTTTTTCCCAGCAAATGCATCATACATTTGCGATCTCTTTATTCATTTGCAAACCTCTGATAATCTCAAAATTAGAAGGTTCGTACAGGGTTATGAATTCTTGAAATAGCAGTGAAATTTGTAAAGCAGTTTTCCAGTTTCAATTTCACATGTATGTTAATGAATCAATGGTATAATTAACCTATTAAAATGGAACCCCTAAAACTTTTTGGTAGATGAAATTGGTGTCCAACCTAGGCAAAAAAATGGTAAAAGGGAGTGATTTCTTTTTTGTACAGGATTTGGAGCTGTCAAGCTTGACTTAAAGACAAAAGCAAAGAATGGAGTGGTGAGTGATTTCAGAATCCCAAGAAGAATAAACTGACTTTTTGGGTGATAACAGATTTTCGATGAAGTACAAGGGGAAAAAGTACACTGTGTTTCCTGGCAAGAGTGTCTGCTATAAAGCATGACTTGACATCATTGATTGTCTTGATTCTTTATTGTTTCCAAATTATCAAGATAATAGGGCCATTTATACCAGGAAAAATAAGACGAGTCTTACATAAGACGCGTCTTAAATAAGACGCGAACTGTACCATTTATACGAGCATGTCTTATCTAATAAGACGCGTCTTAGCTAAGCCGCGTCTTATTTTAGATGAAATATGTCGTTTATACGGAAAGTTCGCGTCTTATATAAGATGCTTCTTATTTTTACTCGTATAAATGGCCCTAATGATACACAATTCTCAGAGAACTGGTTCGCCAGGACAATCACAATCGCTTGGATATGCTGTGTTTGATCGTCTTGGTCATCCTAATCACCTAAAACAGCTGAAGTGATTTTAAAAACTAATCCAAACAATAATTTTACAATGTATACAGAAAACTGGCCGAGAACTCAACGGCTTTGATAACAAAGACTTCATGAGTTATACTTAGTATTAGCATAACTCACAAATTTACCTTTGCTTTCAGTCTGTGTGGCACATACAAGACCTAGCAAATTTACTGTATACACTTATTTAAAGTAATTTTAAATAAGTGTAAACATTTAATACTGTAAAACTGCAATTATTGCAGTTTTACGGTTGTTTTTTATCATTCTTGTTATAATTGTTACCTTTTTTACAATGTTTTAGGAATTTGTAACATCTGGTTCATCAAATAATGACTCTGGAAAGGTTTTTGGAAGTCTGGAGACAAAATACAAGTATTCTGACTATGGTAAGTGCTTCAGCTTTTTGGAATTTACATGTACTCTTGTAATAGTTTAAGAAGACTTTTTGAGTTCATTGAAGTCATGTTATTCTAAGTACAGATGAGTCCCAATTCTTCCTGTGAATTTGACAAGAGACAGACATTCTGCAAATCACCCTAAACATTTGAGGGTCACCTTTTTTGCTTTCTCTCATGGGCAAAGGTTTTGTGCGTACAACTGAATAAAGATGTTCACACACACATGGCTGTGTTGTCTAGCTGCATAAAACTCATAATTTATTACTTTTTAAAAAAAGGCTAGGGACATAAGACTGCTTGGTTCTTGCAAGTTATGTTAAGCATTTGTTTAAACATTTAGGGCAACGGATCTAGAAAGCATTAAAAGCAAAAAAGCCTTTGTTTGGAGATAAAGTGAAGGATGACATTGGTGTGATCCAGCCTTCTGACAATAACAACATCCATGCTTTTTAGACATTTTTTTTTTCCAACATTCCTCAGGGAACAGTAGCTGTCGAGAAACAAAAGATTTTCTCACGTGACAACAATTATGGGCTTCAAAGCTACTGATGGCATGTTTGAAGTTTGTTGATGCTTGTAAATATTTTTACGGGTGTTTAGAATGACATCATAGTAACCATTTTTGTCCCATTTGTTGACACTGTTCTTTTGTCTGATGAAACAGGTATCACCCTGTCTGACAAGTGGACAACAGACAATGTCATTACTACAAATATTGCAGTGGAAGATCAAGTATGTTTCAAATAAATTTGCAAGAGATTTAAAGAAAACAGTTACAATAGTTCCTTAGGTGTTCTTTAGTTCTTAAAACACAAGATATCCTGATTTTGTTAGGTACACTAAGTCGGTAAATTTTCAAGTACAAACATTTGCTGAAGAACATCTAAATTATCAACACTGTAAAAAATGTAGTAAGTTTTGAAGTAGAGAGTGCAAATTCAGACTAATCACTTACTCAGAAAAAGTCTAGAACACTTATTTATTATATTGTCAACACAGCTCCCTTATTACTCTCGCATGTACATATTCACTGAGCCACAAGGGCACTTCCCATGTCCATTGCCTGCACTTGCTTTCACGATTTAAATTCTTGTTTTTTTTAGTATATTGAATTTTCTGCCTAAAATGTTGTATATATTTCAAAGAATGGTCTTGGAAAGTCGTTCAAGTTTTAGCCTGAGCAATACCTGATGTTTTGAGGGCTAGTCCCATCAAAGTAATGTTGTGATTTGCTTTTGTGAAAAGTTAGTGCTGGAAACCACCTCAGCTTTTGAATCTCTTAACAGTTGTCATTTTAAAAGTTTGGGTTTGTTCCTCTACCAATGCAGCGCCACGGTTTCTTAACCCTTTCAGTTCAAAGAGTGATCAACATCAATTTTCTCTTAACATTACATCTATATTGAAATGTGTGGGGATTGTGCAACAAAGTTTTCTTTGTGTGTTGACATTTTATCAGTATCATTCTGTGGTCTCTGCTTGGGCTATTCAGTGCATTTCAGGCATGAATGTGTTAGATTTATTGTTATTTTCTTCTTCACTGTTATAGTTAGCTAAAGGTCTTAAGTTGGAATTTGATGCAAGCTTTGCACCCAACACAGGGTAAGTCTCTTGTCAATCCATATTTTAAGGTGGGGAAAATGCCTTAATTTGATTTTTCCGTACATAGAACTTGATATAGTCATCTCTTCTGCCATGTTTAAAGCCACTGAATTTGTATTTGCAAATTGTTCTCAATAAGTGATGTTGGTATTGCATGATTTTGTGATATTAGGAAGAAGTCAGCCAAGATAAAGAGCGCATACAAACAAGATTATGTGCACTGCACAGGAGATGTTGACTTTGATTTTGCTGGGCCAGCTATCCAGGCCTCAGCGGTTGCTGGGTATGTACGATTTTTGTTGGAAGAAAAGTATGAGAATTTAATATAGCAGCGGTGAGAATACAGCTGTTTTGAGAAAGGTTGTCGGAAAAAGTACAGGCGACAATCCCGAAAGGTATTGTGGAGTGGTTTTTAGTTCACAGTTTTTCCAATAAATTTCAAAGAATGGCACGAGAGGCCATGGACGTATGTTTGCGAGGGCTAAAGTAAAGCAACAAAAGTAGGTTCAACAGCTACAGTGTCAAGAACAAGTGTCTTGATCATATCCCATATTACCTTTCGGGATTGTCGCGTGCACCGTTTTTGCGACAACCTTTCTCGAAATAGCTGTATGAGAAATGCTAGTGACCACCAAGATGAAATGAGGAGCATTGAAAGAAAAGGGAACAGGAACACATATGACATTTCCTCCATAAGAGGTGTAACTGGGAACTTTCACGTTGTAGTTATGTAAACAATGTTAAAGAAATGTATAAAAGTGTGCTGCACTTTCAAAGTTGTTTTTTACTTTTGCTAATAAGACCCATTGATTTTTTGCCATACTAGTTGCATCACAAGATCCTTTTTGTTGTTTGAGTAAACTATAAGTATATCAACAAGAGCCTCACTTTTAACCCTGGCTAAATCTTAAGACCAGTGAGGCAGGCAGACAGGCAGGCAGAACCTTCAGATGATGATACTCTTTGTTTTGGTACAGTTTTAAGGTGATGTTACACAGAACAATTCGTAATAATAATTTTTAACACAACACAGCATTGCAATGTTGGAACGCAGTCCCAACCATTTGAAACAATGTTGCAACAAAATGTTGCAACAGTGTTGCAAAGCTGTGGTGTGCTAAAAATCGTCATTGCAAATCATCCCATGTAACATCACCTTAACATGTACAAATGAAACTGTGTTTGGTCAGTTTTGCCAGTGAAAAGGTTAATGCTTCATCGGGTTACTGACTGTAGTTGTACAGAGTATGAAGAGTAAGCATCAGAGTTTAAGTAGAACCTTTTCTCTGGTGATAATTCATGAAGGCCGTGTAGCATTCACCTTATCTTGGTAGGAAATTTGTGTTTTAATGCTCCTCTGTTTTTATGGTAGGTATGAAGGCTGGGTAGCAGGATATCAAGCTGCTTATGACACTGCCAAGTCAAAACTAACTGCTAACAACTTCTCGTTTGGCTACCGATCAGACGACTTCAACATTTACACTTCAGTGTGAGTATACCTTTCTTAATATCTTCAGGTGGGCTACAAACTAGAAATAGGTATGAGCTGTTGAAAAGATTTCTGATTTTTAGCCCATGGTTTGATAACATTGTAAACCACAATTTTCTCGGCCAGAAACTTGAATATGTAGCTGGGTCCCTTCACAGAGATCTATTTATGGTAATCCAATAAAGCATTCCAAAATAGTCCAGTCATAATGTAATGCAGCTTTATTTAGTGATACAGCTGTAGCTCTATCTTGCCTATCTTGGTTCTTCAGAACATATGAATGAATAGTTAAAGTTTCTAATGGACGTTTTAAAACCTTTGGAATTTTCTAGGAATGATGGATCCAAATTTTCTGGATTAATTTACCACAAGGTATAGTGCCCTGTTTTTTCTCAATATTTTGTCTTCATCATCATATATCTGTCAGGACAGAGGTTTCAGTAGAAGCTAGGAGCTGGGTTCCTGGCACCAGTGTTTTCTGAGCAGTACCACCTCCTTCAAACAAGATGGACATGACAACTCTCACGCCACCTTTCCAACTTTCCCTACCAAGAGAGAGGAGAAGTCGTTACTTCTCATTGCCGTTGTAGCAAAAGAACAAACCGTGGTCCTGCAAATATGGCAGATGATATGAAAAAAAAATTTACATTTATGATTTTCTTGACGTCATCCCTCCACTGTTTGACAAAGAAATTTTGCCCCATTGTAACCTGACATTACACTTCTCCTCTCAATTCAACCAAGGACAGCCTTCTAGTTACGAAATAGTGAAAACCCTGGTCAGTAGGTACAAGACTGTGACTGTCTTATTGTGTAAAAAATCACTGGCCTATGACTATTTTTTGTATTCAGAGATGGATCCTTTTTCAAAATATTATTCTTCTGAAATGTTACACCTTCCTCTTGCTACTAGTTATTCTTAATGAAATCCCTGCACATGTTATACAAATGAAGGGGTTCCAACTGCAAGTCATGCAATTTTCTATCTCTTTAAAATGGGAAAAAACATCCTCATATCAAATTGAATTCCAAAAATACTGTTTCAGTTTTGTTACTTTAGACTGTTATTAGGCATAGAAGCAGAGCCCCTTTAAGAACAATGTGATCAATCATGTTTGTCATGAGACGTAGAACCCCAAAAACTTTGTCACTGACTATCAGATTTCCTTGTAGATCAATGGCAGTCTTGAGGCTGCAGCACAACTGAACTGGGCCTCAGGTAGCAGCAGCACTGCATTCCAAGTTGGTTGCAAGTATGATGTTGACAAGGATACATCAGTTAGGGTAAGACATCATGGTGTTTTCTGCTGTTTGAATCCGGTTATTAATTCTTCATAACCAGCCGGCGTTGACCAAATTTTTAAGATGCATGCAATATACCATCAATTTGATGGTATATTTGCTTGGAAATCAGGTTGATCAATGGTATATTTGCCTGGGATCGAGGATGCTTGGGCAATAGGGAACTAAAAAAAATAGCGTTCACAGCTATTGTAAAGTGACAATGGCCACAGTGCACTGTTAGAGCACAGCCTTGTCTCTCATCTCTATGACACTGCCCCTCCAGTATGCTCTGTGATGTGTTTATTGGGTCTTTAAAGTTTCAACTGATTTTTCTCTCAAACCTCCAATGTTATCGTGTCCTTAACTCTGTCTTTATGTAATAATATCAATTTATCTAAAACAGTTAATGCTCAGTTGTTTGTCTGACCTGCCTAGATTAGCATTTGCTACCTGCAGGTTTCAGTGTGATTACTTAAGTCAATTGTTACGATAAAGATTTTGTTGTTGTTGTTGTAGTGATCATTGTGTTATTGATTTATTTATGTATATATCTATTGGCTGTTTTGTAGGCCAAAGTGAGTAACTCAAGCCTTGTAGGACTGGCCTTTACCCAGCAATTGCGTGATGGCATCAAGGTTACTCTGTCTTCACAGATTGACACTAAAAATCTCAATCAAGGAGGGCACAAGATTGGTCTGGGTCTGGATTTCCAAGCCTAAGCAATTAGCACTGTACTGTTCTCTGACAATATTTTAATTACCAAGTCCATGCATGCAAAAGTGTGTATTGGATTTTAGTGTTTTTCAACCAGTGTGAGGAAGCTTCTGAATTTCGCGGTGAACTGCTTGTGGCTATAATAACGTGTAAAGTCATGTAGTTGATTTTGTTTGGAATAAACTTCAAAGAGGTATTTTGTGGTCGGTGGGTTTCGTGTTAATGTGGTTTAATGGGCTCTCCTAGGCTAAATTATTAAGTGTGTCAAGCGCAAATTCAGGATTTTTTTAACATGCCGACTCGTGATCCATTAAACATCAACAACAATTTTCCATGGTCTATGCTCTTATCGATGACGTCAAAACTCAAGTGGAGCCACTTGCCTGCGGCTCATGGTTTCACTTCAAAGTTTTGAACATTTTGACGTCAATAAGAGTATGGATCATGGGAAATAAAAATATTGTGTTCGATTTGTTTTTTACAATAATATTGCCAGTTTTTGACGTCCATTTCCGCTGAAAATTCTCCAGAACTAAAATCACGCTCGCCAGAAGAGAAATTGCGCAACGACCACTTGGCGTAATTTATAGCTCTGGACCAATCAGCGCGCGATAAATCGATCTTCCCCTCCCTCACACTGAGACTGCAAGCATTTAGTGAGGGGAGTGCACCCTAATGCGAGTGTCGACGCGAGAAACGAGATTCGCGTAGTCATTTGCGTGTCTCGCGCGTTTTCTTGAAGGACCAAGAAAATAGAGAGATTGCTCGTAGTCCACTCACGCTAGCCCCGTTGTGCATTTGTTGCTAGCCTTTGCTTGGTGGAAGGAAGCGCGTGAAGGACCAGGTCATGAAACCTCTTCTTTCCTAGCCTCATGAATGCGTGACAAACGAACCCTAAAGTACGTCTGCGGGGAGGCTGCGCTTCTCCCTTTCAAATGCCTTCCTCTCATTCTAACGCAGACTTCTCGCTCCGTTTTCGCTCGTCGTCCACACTAAAGCCACCCCCGAAAAATGCAGATGAAAGTGAAGACTTTTGAAATCGGTTTGAACGTTCTTCTGAGAAGACAGATAGTGAGTACGATAATTATATTGATCTTACATTTACACATTATCTTTTTTTCATATACCGTATTTATTCGATTAACCGCCCCGGGCGCTCATCAAATTTTTAGACCTTGGGAGTGGGCGCGTTTGAATTTTTCACCATTTTCAGCAAGTGCAGTATGTTTATTTTGCAAAAAACGATAAATGGTAATAACAAAACTAGCCTCCTACGCAGGCGTGTTTAGGGAAGCTCGTTTTTCCTCCCTCCCTCCTGGGGAGGGATGAAAAACGAGCTCCCCTAAAAACGCCTGCGTGGGAGGCTATAACAAAACGGGAAGGTGTAACAAAGTTAAGCAAAATTTCTGTAAAATACTCTGAAGAAACTCCGTTTTCGGAGGGTCTATTATTATCTCTTATTTGAGTTTGTGTGCGAGGGGGTGGGGGTTGGCGCTTATTCTAGGCTGGGCGCCTATTCGAGGGGGGCGCTAATTCGAGGTTGGGCGCTTATTCGAATAAATGCGGTACAGTGTATATCAGACAGTATACATGAAAGGGAAGGAAAATCTATCATTAAGTATTTAAAAGAGCGTTAAACTAAAATGCTTAGGAAAGACAGACCCACCTTGTGGCTAGCATTTTAATTTGTTACACGTTTTTAATACATGAAAATGACATGAAGGTTGGATCCCTGTTTTAGCGATTTATTCCTAGAAAGTAGGTATGTTAAAGGGGAGCCATTTTTCAATGGAAGGTATACGAAGGGGATACTCACTCTCTCTCTCTCTCGCTCCGTAGGGCGGGTAGGAGAGAACCCTGGGAACGAGGTTGGTCCATATCAAGTCAATTCTCGTACTCGTATTCGTCCTCGTCCTTGAATCCAAAGATGTCTAATAGAAAACTCCAGTCTGGGCTTTTCTCATTAAATTTAGTTTTGTATTCTTTTTTCCCCTTCATTTTGCGCTTCAGCAAAAGTCCCGCACATCTCTTTTTTAATGCCAGGAGCCATGTTGAGAGGACCAGTGCCCCTATCACACCCCCCTATCTCCTTATTTAGAAGGTCACATGTTCTCAAAGTCTGGCGTGATAGTCGGAAGTCGACCCTAGAAGCGGCCTAGAAGCGCTGTTTATTTACGTTGCAGGAGGTCAAACCACTTCGCTTTTGCCTTTTTTTGGGAAATCTCCGAAGAAATCAAGTCAGTTTATGGCATACTTGCCAAAAATTTGTCGACTGAACTAAAAGGCCCTTGGTCGCTGTAAAGTCTTACATAAGCGTTGCACGTTGTTGAACCCATTCGTCAATACAAGGCAAGATGCTAGCCCTTGAAAAAGTGATTATTTGTGCTTTAGCTTCATCTGTGTGGATTGATATTTCTTGTGCGATCGCCCCTCTTCCTGAAGAGAACATGAATGTGGTAAGTTGAGGTGATTTCACTTGCAAATTACGGTCAATACAATACCCATGAATACAGCTTAAGCTTATGTCTTAACCGAAAAACAGGTGTGAGAAGGGGTTGATCACTAAAAATGTATGTAGGTAGCTTTACACAATGTTTTATACTGTGACGTTATCACCAGGCACTAAAACACAGCCCGAGGGCCGGGGTGGTATTTTATCACGTGATATCTTAACCATATGCCGATGCGGGGGGCGGGGGGGGGGTGGGGGGGTACTCTCTTATTTAGCCTAAGCGGGTATGTGCTGCTGAACAATTCCATGATGTCATTTTCAAAAAATTATTAATTCCGTGTGTGAAACAAAAATGAATCAGGGTCATAGCAAAAGGTCTCTTGATTTAACAAGGGAAGCACATGAACAATTTTTTGTCTTTAACAGGGTCAGCAGGGTTTGGCCTTGGCAGCACACCTCTACCCAAACTTTCCTTGAGTGGCCCCCTACCTCTGATTTACCATTCCTGTCACAGCTCTTGGATTCATGCTGTTTTAAATGGTGTTAATTCTTCTTCATACATGAATTCCGTCAATTTTCTCCATTATATGCCAGGCCCACTGTGACAGACATAACCACTGCGCCCTTTGGTCAAAATTCTTTAATGTCTTTGTTTTGTTTTTATTATCTTTATATATATATATTTTTTCATTTGTCAAAAAATCAGTCCCAGGCAGTCTGGCGAGGGAAAGGAGAAACTTGACAGACATGGCCTTAACAAAAGGAAATTTTTTACTTCGTAAATTAAGTCTTGGACAAAATGGAAACCAAAAGTTTGAGGAAAAATTGAATAAGAACAGGAGCCTACAGGCTCTTGAAATGAGACACAATTCTCAATGTATTAGAATGGACTCTGGACTCTGGACTGTGTGGTGGACTGATAGGGTTTAAATAAACCATCGAAGGCCACATGCAGTGTGACAATGTGTTGTGTTTAAAATCTGTATTCAATATTTAGAGGGTAAAAGTAAGATTTGCAGATAGTGGACTAGAAATAAAGCACAGATTTAAGCTAATTATTTATTTTCTTTAAGAGCCCCACAAGATATCCTTGCTTAACTTCCTTACTCTTGGTCCATACACCTTGTTCTGAAGGTCAAGTTGTGACAAGTCTAGGACACTATCAGTAAAACTTGATTGTAGCATTTTAAGCTTTTACAATTATGTCTCTTACACTTTGCAAAGATAAAACTTGTGACAATTTTTTCAGTTGACTGCTACCCCCAGTGCCATTTGCCTCTCCTTTTGATAGACCATCTCCTCCTGTGTGGGTGAGGAATGCGTGACACAGCCCCAAGGACATCTGTGTAGGAGGCTACACTGTCCTAATTCTGAGCGCCAAAGGTTCCATCATAATATCAGATGGTCTATTTTAAATCAGTTCATGGCAGGCTCTGGAATTCATTGATTGATATCAATTATCACAAGAAAAATAAAGGACTGTCATTTTGTCTGGGAATGGAAAAACAAGGTGAAATGATTCCTATGTGACTAATAATATTACCATTGTTCTGGCTTAAATCTATTTTGTTTCTGTAGACTGAGATAATTCATTACAATGGCTACCCAGCTGAAGAGTACACTGTAACAACAGATGATGGATACATCTTAACCATTCAAAGAATTCCTCAGGGTCGTCAGGAAACGTACTTAACAGGCCCTAAACCAGTGGTTCTTGTTCAGCATGGGCTGCTCGCATCGTCTTCTAACTGGGTTGCAAATTTACCAAATGAAAGCTTTGGCTTTATTCTCGCAGACAAAGGATTTGATGTTTGGCTTGGAAACATTCGTGGAAATACCTACGGTAGACAACATGTGAATCTCTCAGTTGATTCAGATGCTTTCTGGAATTTCACGTAAGTGAGATGTTTATTTAAAGACATGTTATTAAGTAAAAATGTGAGAAATAGATGTCAGTATTTTTCAGAAAACTAGTTTTCTGCAGTTGGAACGTAAGTTCAGGAGTGTGCCCAAAGCCATTTTATTTTCCTGAGACACATTGTACTTTCACAGTGTTGAAAAAATTAGGAAGGCCACACTATGAGCTATGGGGCTCATACAACCAGAGCTTATCCCGTTTTCTGTGGCATATTCAAAGCATCAAGGAATATGTAAAGCTTCTCTTCCTATACAGACAGAATCGCTAGTCGATGCAGGGTTTATACCCTCGTGACTATAAACTGTACTGCCAACCCGGAGAAAAACGTTTCTTGTCTAAGAGAGTGGTGCAATGGCAAAACTTGAAACTAGATCTACAGATCTGAAGGATGACATGCTTTTTGCTATCAATTACCTCTTATCTGCCTCCTTCCATTCACTCATAGTTCTGTTTTAATGTTCACTTTATAGCTGGGATGAAATGGCAAAGTATGACCTACCAGCGATGGTTAACTTCGTCCTAAAAAAAACTGGGCAGCCCTCATTGCACTATGCTGCTCATTCACAAGGAAGCCTTATAGCTTTTGCAGAACTGTCCAGAAATCAGGATTTAGCACAGAAAATAAAGGCTGTCTTCGCCCTAGGACCTGTTGCTTATTTGGGTCACATGGAGAGCCCACTGAAATTTTTGGCTGATTTTCTTCCAGAGCTTGAGGTAATTCAATCTTGGAAAAATGGGGACTTAAACATTAACGGTCATTATAAATATCTTGTTAGATGTTTGGCATGTGGTATGCATGGCTGAGTATTTTTACAAACTAATTTTGGCATGGGTGCAGAACTCAAGAATAAGTCAAAAGAGTTCATGGCTATGAATATGAAATAGCCAAATTACCTATTGAAACTGAATTATGGATGTTATCTCAACTAATATTTGATCTGCCTCTCTGAATAATGCAATGTTAAATGTCATCATACTTGTGTTGGATTTTGTAGGACTTTTTCAAGTTTTTTGGTGTTCGTGACTTTCTTCCTTCAAATGACATCATAAAATGGATGGCTACGTATCTTTGTGAACCTGGTGATACACGAGAAATTTGTTCTAGTATCATTTTCATCATTTGTGGTTTTGACCTCCCGCAGCTTAACATGGTAAGATTATAGAAAACTTTAGTCGCTCTCAACCTTATGACCACTCTCCTAGGTGACCAGCTCTATTTATGACTGGAACCTGTGCTCTTGCCTGTAAATGTAAATATCGGCGTTGCAGATGACAAGAATTGCATAGAATTGCAGCTTAGTGTTATGGACAAATCCAGTATACAAAACCTCCTGAGCATCCGCTGCCAGCCAGCAGTTGGTTCTAGTTCAGGTTTCAATGTGACATTCCCACGTGATTGGAGCAATAAAATTTTCCAAAGCTGATGCCAATAGATCAGAACACTTTTCCTTTGATGCTGCATCATGGTTGCTTCTTACTAATTCACGTCAATAAGTTACTCATTACGGCTCAGCCAATCAGGAATTTGTGGATGCCAGCATCCGCAGAAATGAACAGAAGGGGGTTCTTACAGCAGGTGTCACTTACCCTCTCTTCCCAGTCCTCCTGCCTTTTTCCCTTCCTCCCAATCCCCTACCCCTATTGACCCCTGCTACGCAGGCCAACTACTGGCTGATTCTTTCCTTTGTTTCTATGTTCTTGTGAGCATAACCACCATATAATAATTATGCAGTGACATTTAAATAGAAAAAAATTATTTCTAGATAAAATTTAGGGCAATTAATGCATTAATACTCTGACTGCCTGTATGATGGCTACAAATAAGTGCTTCTCAATTTTTTATACTATTTTTGTTAAATGTTTTTATCATTTTAGACTCGCTTGCCTATCTACATTGCCCACACTCCTGCAGGAACATCAGTTAAAAATATGGCTCACTTTGGACAGGTATAGAGATTCACAGTTTTGTCATTGTCATGTTAAATATTATTAATCTGTTGAAAGTTTTCATGATTTTGGATTTTTCTTGGATTTGTAACTGATATATTATACAAAAGAGCATTAGCTAAGTATATGATCTCTGTTTTGTCTCATCAATGGGCACATTATTTTTCCTAGATGTACAGGTCTAACAAGTTCCAGATGTTTGATTATGGAAGCGCAGAAAAAAATAGGCAACATTATGGAACTGTACGTATTATAATACATGCATAATCTATGATGTATAACCTTTTTTCGTGATTACAGTATCTTGATTTGCTTGTCAAAGTAGTGGTGTAGTAGTGGTAATAGTGGTGGTAAGTTTGCAGCTGCAAAAAGTTCCTGAAAAAGACCTCTTGGGTTGACATTCGGTTGCAGCATTTCTGGGAGCAAGGGAATGTCCAAAAAGTTAGTCCTGTTTCCCTGGTCAGAATGCATGGCCAAAAAGAAGGGAGGTGGGTCACATTTCCATTAGCCTGTGTAGCTAGCTAGTGGAATTGGTTTTGCTTGTGTGAGAGCTTCACAGCATCCATGCCAAACTTTTCTCAGGTTAACGATCTCACTAGCTACACAGGCTACATTTTTACAAGTCGCTGTTTTGTCAGTAGCTTAATTACTAATACAAAGCAATTAAGGATGAAAAACCATCTTGGTTCTATGGTTTATTTATCTGTAGCATCTTAATGACCTGGCCCTGGTTGTTCAAAAGATGGATGGTGCTAGCATAAATATAAATCACTATCCAGTGGATAAGTATATATTATGAAAACCAATTGTGCATCCAGTTGATAGAGATTTATCTGATGGATAGCACTATATCCACCTTTTGAACAACTGGGGCCTGAACTTTGACTTGTGGAGTGTGGCTTAAGAAGAAAACCTCCCATATTAGCCTCTAGGAAACCAGCTTCCTTGCAATGTTTGTTATTATTGATAAGGTGTTTACCAATATCGACTAGTATTCATAAGATGTCTTTTTTTTTCTTTTTTTGATATTCTCTGTCCACAGGATACCCCTCCACAATACAATGCATCAGCTATCACTGTACCATTAGCACTTTACTGGGGAGGAAATGACTGGCTGGCAGATCCTGATGATGTGAAGGTGTTGATGCAAAAGCTTGCTGATGAGACTTTGTGGTACAATAAGACTATAAAGGCTTGGCAACATTTGGATTTCATTTGGGGATTGGATGCAGCACCTCTTGTCTATGATGACGTTGCTAAAAAGATCCTTGACAAGGAACTTGAATTCAAATAACATCAGCAACTAGAGTGGATTGGCGTCTTGATAAAACACCCTTCTTTGTAAAAACTGTACATAAGATAATTAAGCAGAAGTGTCTTGGTGAAGTAACCGGATATTAGTAATAATGGTTTCCATATGAAGGCTACCAGCGTCGGAAAAAAAGTTCAGAGCCCTTAGTGATTATAAGGAAGCATTTATTTGACCATCACAGTAATGGAAGCGAATGCTGAGGGCAATTTTCAACAAGATAGACTTTTTAAAATCGATGTTATAAAGCTGTTTTCCATTTAATCATTACAGATCATTCAAATTGATTGACTCTCTTCATCGATCATAGCCTACAAGGGGATCATATGGAAATGAGAGTACTGATCCTGGGGGGGACTCCCATATGAGAGGAGCGAGGATGCTTAAAGGAGACCAATCTGGGCGTGGCTTAACCTTTTTTGACCCCTAAAAGCGATCATTTTAAACTTTGATGACATGAATCGAGTAAATAAAACGAATTGAAAATATATAATTTTTTAATATTTCTTTCTGTGCTACCCTAAAAGAGACTTTTATGGCTAAATATAATGGTGTTTTGCCCAGAACACCCTAAGCGAGACTGAAATCTGAAATTTACACCTTAAAGCAAGATGACGAGCATCCCCGCCCCTTTCATATGGGCGTTCCCCCCCCCCCCGGGACTGATTTGAGACGGTGCATTTCCTTACTCTTTTTAGTCTCTCCAGCTGATTTACATCTATCTTGTAGCAGGTACTTCGAATGTTTCTGCATGAGATCTCCAACTGCATGGTATGTGTAATAACTGGTACATTCCCCCCAGATGAAGCAAATGTGAAAAATGGCGGGAAACGGGAAATGACGATGAAATGACGGGAAATGACGATCTCACGAGATGACGTGGTATAGACTTCTCATCGTGACAATGTGAAAAATGTACAATACAGTTGTTGCCAATGCGTCTGGTCATCCCAAATGCCAAGGGTTGAATCCCGGTCAAGCCAGAATTTACTTTAAGAATTCAGTTTAAACTGCGATGATCAGAGTGCTCATTCATAAAGTTTGGGCATTTGTAGTTGTACAATTTTATATTTTTCACGGTATACACCAACGCTGTATTTACTCTATATCTAATATAAATCTAGTTAGAGAATTAGTTAGCTAGCCTGAATTTCAGACATCCGTTCGAGTCCCATACTTCCTGGATGTCTGAAATGCAGGCTATTAGTCGGCAAAAGTTATAAAAAACTAAGCTAACAAATTAAACCTAAATAAAATTGTCTTTTAATTTTCTGAGCGTTTTAAGTTTCATTGTTTGGAATTTGACCGCTTTAGACTGAGAAGTGGTTTCATCCTATCAGCCAGGTCCCACTCCACTGCAGGAATACTACTGATGTCGCCCGAAAAAAATCGATAGTTCCCTCAGATATTTTCCATTCTCCAAAACTTCAGATGATCCTAAACAAAGAAGTGTGGTCAGTAGGGCTCTTTGAGTTTTAAACTTTTAACTTGAGATCAGGCCCTATTTTTGTCTTACTTCGTAAATGAAATTTAGGAAGTGTATCGAAACTGCTAAAATTAGGCCTGATCTCAGGTTATAAACAGTGTATAAACTGTTGAAGAAGCAGCCAAAATTGAAAGCGGATGTCTGTTGTAGAATGATATGCCCGAAGGCAAACACTCTACCGTAAACTACCGCTTAGAAGCCCTACCAGTTATAGACTCATCTACCCGCCAAAAAAAAACATTCGATTATAACCCCACCCACCCACCCCTCCCCCCGCTAGATTTCAGGAGCCGCGCGGGGGTAGGGGCTAAGGGGCAGGGGCCCCCCCACTTTTTGAGAAAAAAAGATTAAAATTACGAAATATACATTTTCAAATAAAAGGAATCCTTGATGGAATACGAATATTCGACTGGCGGACCTCTCCGAAGCGTCCAAATTTAAGATTGGTCCGTTTCGATCCTATATCATAAGGTTTAATTCAAGAGAGAAGAGCCTCATTCTCTCTTGGTTGGTAAGCCTCAAAACGACTATCTTTACAAAACTGCACTTAGTCATAGACTTCTGCGTTTTCACCAGCCAGGGTCGTGTATGCATAAATAATGGCGCCTTTTTTTATCAAGGTTCTTTAAAAATCTCCACGGAGCTATGATTTTTTAAAACAAATCGAACTCGATAACATGGTAGACAGACTACGAGTAGTCCCTCATTTTTCCTCATGGATAGTAGAGCGAGCGAAACGCGAGCGCGCGTGAAAATCACGCGACGTGAGAAAGGCGAGACGCGGTAGCGCCGCGTGTAGCCTTTTCTCGCGTGGGGTGAGTTTCACACGCGGTCTCGTTTCGCTCGCTCTACTATCCCTGGAGACAAATGGGGGACTACTCGTAGTCTACATGGTAGATAACATGAAAAAGTTTTAGGAATTACCTCAGCAGAGCATGATATTGATAAATGAAATTTTTTCCCGATCTGCAAGTGTCTGATGGTAAATCCTGCAACCATCGCAATAGGAAAAGGTTCTTTTCGGGCAGCTCGTAGGTTCAAAACAAGGCTCCGTTCAATAATGACTAAAGAAAAGTTCTAAACAAAGTCGCACGGAGAGGACGGACAAACTTTTGAAGTAAATGAAGTACGCGAAAATCATGATGTTGCTGTGCGTGGTTACATTTTTTGTTACTAACTCCTTTCTCGTTTGTTAAACTATTTTAAAAAATGATTGATGAGTTGTAACTGTATTAAAAAAATATTGAGTCGACACCAGGTCAACGATTTTTTAAGTCCACAACCACAAAACCTCCCTCCCGCTAATAATGGCTAGGCCTTTCCCGATTGCGCTGAGCACCTTTTGAGCACTTTTTTGAGTTTGGAGCACTATTTTGCATTTTGAGCACCCTTAAGCACTTTTTCACACTTTGGGCAACATTTGAGCAATATTTCACATTTCGAGCAAATTTCGAGTAACATATGTCTTCTAAACAATTTTAAAGCAAAAACTGTGTGTCGCTCGCAACGAGAATCGTGTTCCAGGTCATAAATTTGAATAACTAATGATGTTGTCAAGAATAAAAGACCGTTGTCATGGAAAGGCACGTGGACTTATCCTCACTAAGCGTGAGAACAGAAGTTTCTGATTGGCTGATGTATCTTGCGTGTGTCATCTCAAGTTTCTAAGACCCTGTTGACATGGAGTGGGGGACCCCGGTCTAGTGGGGTAGGTTTCTTTTGTTTTGTGTCCCCCAGAGCGTGAAAACAAAAGAAACCAACCCCACTAGACCGGGGTCCCCCACTCCATGTAGACAGGCCCTTAATCATCTGATGCTAGTACTGCTGAATTTATTTAATATTATCGTTGTATATTCTATCGACCTTTCGTAACAACCTGTCGAATAACACTAAGCAAAATAGATTGTTAATTACTTCAGTAAAAATTGACACATTTACGAAAAGCTTAGAGGTAACTGTTCACAACTTTTAGCACTTTTTGAGCACTATTTTGAGATTTTGAGCACTTTTTGAGCACTTTTTAGCCATTTTTGCCAGCACTTTTTTAGGATTTTACGAGCGCAATCGGGAAAGGCCTAATAATGGCGAAAACATTTTGCAAACGGAAGGCCTGTGTCAAAGATGTGTTCTGAGCATATGAATAATTAGCAATATCTCTCGCTAGGAGAACGAATTTTTCCCGAAAAGTAAATGTTGAGGTTTTTCTGTGCCTTAACGTTTAATTAAGGTCACGTGACATGTCACGTGACCAAAAATTGAAAATGAAGGACATATGCGAATTGGTGGCCAATTTACTTTGTTTCGATAAACAAATTGGTATTTCTTGCACAGGATAAACATACCTAACTTTCTACGTTTGGAATGGATGTACACAAGCCACAAAGCGGCTCTAAATGAAAAACCTTCCGACTCTCCGCAATGATTCTTCATTCAAGTTCAATTTAGCATTTCAGTTTCGAAGACAAGGGCAATTTTGTTGTTTAAGATAAAGATTAAGCTTATCGAAATGTTTGAACTACAATGCCAGGGATGCGATCCGCTGAATATCAAGCGACAATCCCGCTAAAATTTTTCATAATTATACATAATTATGCGAATGTTTAGACCATCAACCAATCAAAATCACACTGACGTCACTGGACGGCATTAACGGCCGGTCGATTCAGACGTTGTTGAGAGGAGAAAACGACTCGAAGCAATCGGATGAATTTCAGGCTACATTTTTTCCAGGGATAGTAGAGCAAGCGAAACGCGAGCGCGCATGAAAATCACCCCACGCGAGAAAGGCGTTTTCTCTCTCCCCACCGCTTCTCGCCTTTCTTGCATGGAGTTATTTTCACCCGCGCTCAAGTTTCGTTTGCTCCACTATCCCTGAAGAAAAATGGGGACTACTCGTAGTCTAGTTTTTTCCCGATTTCTTTTCTTAAACCAGCCACTAACTGGTCAATAATTTACGATTTTTAGCAAAATGGTCACGTGACATATCACGTGACTTGTTAACACAATCTTTGTACTTTAAAATGTTAAGGATGATGAGTTCTTTATGTGTGCCAAATTTTGATTCAGCACCATCATCTATACCAAAGTTATAGCCAATAATTCATTTTCCACAAGTAAATCCCTTAGTCCCAGGCCTTAAATTACTTGAGTAATAGGAAAAAGGAATTAAATTAACTGCAAAAACCGAGCACGAAGATCCTGCTGGTTGTAAACGTTAGATCTCTAGAAAAGAAATCTAATCAACCAAAATATTAAGAACCAAAAACGAGAAGTCCAAAGACTTCTGCAAAGCTGATTCAGAACAACGTGTATTGTTTTTTCATAACAATATTTGCCTGGCCATATATACTAGCCTTCTTCAGGTTTACAGATGTAAATGAGCAGGGTCCGAGACACTTGCATCAGTATTTACTGAAAAAAGACTGTAATGGGAAAAAGAGATCGTTGTGCTGTGTTTGGATTAGCCTGTTCCAGGCGTTCAGATAGTGGGGAGCGGTGCGAAGAAAAAAGGAGCTCTCCCCAGTCCCCCTCTACTTTTCATCGCCATCTTCACTTCGCACCGCTCTCCACTATCTGAACGCTTGGAACAGGCTATGTTTGGATGTAATAATGATCGCCTTGTTCCCCAGAAATATACATTGAAGTTCTCTTTTTGCCCGAAAAGCGCACGTAAATACTGAGCGAGTGCCCCCTGAGCATCCCATAATACTCCTTAAATCTAACAAATTCAATATGGCCGCCGTATCGGCCGCCGTATCTATTCAGCCCAAAATTCCGGAAATTTCGATTAGAAATCAAATGAAACAGACCATTTCGGTTCGGCCCGAACGGAATATCTGGGACCACCTTTGAAGGTCAGTCGAACCAAAATGTCCCTTACCATTTGACAAAATTATTGTCTCCAGTACCACTCTTTAGCATCCTGCTTACAAGAAAAATAACCAAACGCGCGATGGCTTGGGTCGTGTGTTTGCAACCGGAATGTACCGTTCCATCAGGCATGTGGAATTTCCGGAATTTCAAACTCAAATTTTGTTGAATGGAAAGCGCCCCAGAATCAGTTCCTGGGTGGATAAGTTGTCATGGAAATCCTCTGGAAACCATAGAGCAAATTAGCTCCTGTGCAAATTTAATCAAGCAAAAAATTAACAAAAGGACGGTTATAAAAATACAGGTATTCGATGAACAAAAGTATTCAGGACAATTCTTCTGCGGTGTACAGATTCCCACCAGTAGCCTCGCTTTCAAATTCAAATCTTTTTGGCGGCCATCTTGAACCTAGAAATCACGTGCCCAAACTTAACGAAACATATTATGGTCCATAAGCTTATTACCATTTTCCTTCTCAGTCCTTCTATAATCTTGCTTCATTGTACAGTTTAGTGATCTCGTTTCCCGCCGTTAGAGCCTTGGAACATTTCTGTTAATTTACGTCGTCTTGAACACGAAGAACGTGCCTGACATCTCAGCTCATTAATGGTAGCAAGCAATGTCCGTTCGTGTTTTGTGAACAAAGTTTTTCGAGCGCATGTGGTCACGACAGCCCTCTGGAAATAGCAGCAGATTTCGTTGAACTGTTATTCTGGTTTTATTGTGGAAACTTAACCCCTCGAGGTGGAGAATTAAGCAGTTTTTTGACAGAAAATATGCCGGTCACAGCCATCTGAAAACGTCGAAGCCGCCATTTTGTTGTGACTTCAAAATTTTGTGGATGTGCTCCAGAACGTACAGCTTTTCCATTTCGTCACTTGAGGAATCTAATGCATTCTGTTTTAATATAGCCGTTTTGGTCTTTTTAAGACCTTCTTTATCGAGATAATTCAAGGAAGAATAACCGAGAGGAGGCAAAATGTTTTGGAAATTCGAGTTGCACCCGAACTCTGCGATAGATACGATGTTGACTAGGGAGGTGAGTTGGTCTTGCATACTAAAGCTGAAAATACAGCGTTTCTAAACGCTTGAACATGTTTCGTATTTTCCCACACTTTTTTTTGTTTAGTTATGCGAATTTTATTTTTACTAGGACTGTACCTTGAGCGAAATTTTGGACGAAGATGACGTGCTGCAAGAAACGAAATCACAAAATAGGAAATTGATAGATTTGTAAGTAGAAATATCCTTGCTTCTCAATATTTGCCTTTGTTGATAAATTTTTCAGCCTGTACTGTTTTGTTAGATTGATTTGGGATATCATACACAAGTTACAGAGTTCTGAGTCATTAAATCAGAGTCACCTTTAATCCTCAACAATTTCTTGGAAATGCTTAAACTTTATGAAATGTAAGCTTGAGCTTATACGAAACGAAAATAAGCCTTGGATCGCGAGAAAACGTAATCTTTACCCCCTTATATCTTAAACACTAGCAGGGGAGGAGAAAGGGAAATTAGAATAAATTTTAGAAGCAAAAAAAACTGCAGTTTGTAAATAGCAAACTTAAAGGAAATGATTAGAAAATTAGATTACAGTCAAATCGACCTCGATTACTTTAATATGTAAGTTAATCCTTATCATCTTATATCGTTTATCACCCTTCCCAGTTTTATCAGATGAAATGCACCTTATATCTTTTTATTTTGTTCTGTGTATTTATAAAGGAAACTTTTGTGATATGTGATTGTATGTGATAGTTATGCAGTTGCAATATTACAGCTTACATTAAAACTATTTCAGTTTCTTCTTCCACAGGCAGCCCAAACTCACGTTGCGAGAGAAGGGTGTAATGTAATTTACATAACATATGTGACGCGCCGGTATCGCGTTACAGGCGACCGTTGAAAATATAAGAGACTTTGTATGGGAAATATATTACTGAGATCTGCGACCGCCAAATAACGCTAAACCTTACTTTTTCTTAAATGAAATGAATAAAAAAGTCTTACCTGCAATCTATTCTGCTGCGATTTGGTGTCTGTTTGTCGTTTTACTGTTTTTTTGGCTTTATTGCGTAACCACTGTTACTCCTTTCATAGAACGAAGTGAAGGCTGGTCACTTCCATCTGTAGGGGTCCTGGACCAGTAACAAAAAAAATGCCGTTTTTTTCGCCGAAATTCAAATCCGCTGCAAAATTTTCAGCTCCAGCCCAAGAAGGAAACCTCTTCTTCCTCTCTGGGAGATCGGCTCGAAAAAAAATCCATAATTTCCCCATCAAATCGAGCCATTTGTGCCGGACTTCGAGGCAAGTCTGGCTTTCGTGCAGTGCCTGTGACCATTGTCGCGCTTACCAAGGTTTCCAATTTCAAATGCAAACTAGTTGCTAGGGTAGCGTGGTGAGGCGAGGAGCCTAGTTAACGAGTCATTTCTGCCCTTGCACCCGTCGCGTAAGTGCTAATTGTCACCCTAGCAACTAATTTGCATTTGAAATTGGAAACCTTGGTAAGCGCGACAATAGTCACAGGCACTGCACGAAAGCCAGACTTGCCTCGAAGTCCGGCACAAATGGCTCGATTTGATGGGGAAATTATGGATTTTTTTTCGAGCCGATCTCCCAGAGAGGAAGAAGAGGTTTCCTTCTTGGGCTGGAGCTGAAAATTTTGCAGCGGATTTGAATTTCGGCGAAAAAAACGGCATTTTTTTTGTTACTGGTCCAGGACCCCTACAGATGGAAGTGACCAGCCTTCACTTCGTTCTATGAAAGGAGTAACAGTGGTTACGCAATAAAGCCAAAAAAACAGTAAAACGACAAACAGACACCAAATCGCAGCAGAATAGATTGCAGGTAAGACTTTTTTATTCATTTCATTTAAGAAAAAGTAAGGTTTAGCGTTATTTGGCGGTCGCAGATCTCAGTAATATATTTCCCATACAAAGTCTCTTATATTTTCAACGGTCGCCTGTAACGCGATACCAGCGCGTCACATATGTTATGTAAATTACATTACACCCTTCTCTCGCAACGTGAGTTTGGGCTGCCTGTGCTTCTTCTGGAGTATTTAAAACCAAATTCTTCAACCTAAAATATACATTATTTTTTCTCAAAATTAAAAAGGATCCACTTTTGAAATTTGTTGTATTTATTGAGTGTTCTTGAAATGGTTGATTTTAATGTAAACATAAATGCCAGTTTTATTATCAACGAGTTGATTTTTCATTATTACAAAACTTTTAAATACATCATATTCATTTTGCATTCATTTTCTTTATGATATTTTTCTCAATTTGTAGCAAATGATGTACATAAAAAGTTGTAATACAGCATGCATATGGTCACCCAATTTCTAAGCACTTTATTTCAAAGTCAAGGGGTATTTTTCATGACCTGCACAAACTCCATATCACAAAATTTCTTATTAAATTGTCCTGCCTGGGGAATCAAACCCACAACCTCCTGCTCTGTAGTCAAGCTCTCTACTGACTAAGCTAATCCTGCTGCAAAGAGCAGCTCTCAAATATTTTTTACCTAAGGCAGTTTTATGTATTTTTTTAGTTTACTTCCTTACACAAGGCAACCTGTCTGAGATCTTGCTGATTGGGCAATTACTTGTCTGGCAGCGAAATTAGCTTTTCGCAGTCAACTGCACAAGACTTTTTTGTGCCCTTAAAAAAAGCATCAACTCCATAAAGCACATAAAATTGTGGATAGATCTTACGTTTTTATACATTTCTAGGTTCTTAACATATGTATGGTGTGAGTATTCAACATCATGGCCATTCAAAATTAAGTTTTTGCTTCACTGTTGTTCTCAGTTTCCTTCGTCCAGAGATCTTGGAAGAGCTTGTGACCCTTGTCTTGGATCCTCCAGATGAGAACAAAGAAGACTGCCTGAAATATAAGTAAGTGGTTAATCAGAGTTTATACTAGGGTACCTTGAATCTAGAGTGCTAAGTGAATTCTTATAAACTGCTGCACTGCACATATCCAGGGCTGTCAACTCTCCTGGATAATCCGGGAGACTCCAGATTTTGAGCCATTTCCCCTGGTCTCCAGAATAGAGTCTTAAATCTCCCTGATAATTGGTGAAGTTTGCCATTTCTTGTAGATTTGACTTTCTGACAATGAAATTTCAAATACTTTGGGTTGTTTGAGCTATTTTACTGTTGACATTGAACGTTTCTTCGCAAAGTCCAGTATGCCATCGTAATATAAGCAATAATGTGATTGGTGGGAAGTAAACTAATTAAATGTTACAATTCCAACAATATCTTTTTCTCACCTTTTTTTTTTACAAATGACATCATGTACTGTTTACATTGTGACATCATTTATCTTCCTTTCCCCATCAATTCTCAATATTTGAAGACGTGGGGGGTTGACAGCCCTGCATATTTTGTTTTCAAGTTTCGATAAAGACCAGTTATTCATTGACACTGCTGAAAAGAGCTCCTTACTGCGCTTTTCAATAACATGCGAATTCAGAAACTCAAAAGCCAACTGATGATTGTGTTTCTTGCTGCCATCAATCATCTTAATGGACCTCTTAGGAAACAAAACTTTACTTTAACGGGTTCAAAAGGTCATGGTTTGTGATTTCTGATTGGTGGATTTCGATCCGTTTTGTGTGTTTCTGCATTTCAAGGTTCGTTGCTTGTGATCGTAACTATGATTGACGGCAGCAGAAAACGCAATTGTGAAGGCGGCTTTTGAACTTTAGAGTTTGCATGGTTGTGAAAAGCGCAGTAAAATAAGGTTCATAGATATTGTTCCACGAAGTCTCGAAATATTACTGAAATTTGTACGGTGGTGGGCACGAACTTGCAACCCACTTTACAAACATCCATAAAAATCGGTGACTTTTCAGAGCTATATCTTGGTTAATTTACTACAAATCACTGTCAAACTTGGCAGCTTTAATGACTTTAAGGCATTCTTTCCAGCTGCATGGACAGGTTTACGCTAACTGGTTCCAGTAAAAATTTTGAAAAAAAAAACATTTAACCAGCTTTGAGTAATTTTCTCCCTAACAGAACTCGGGATTACTTTTCCTACCACTGTGAATGGACTCATTTTAAAAATAATTACCAAACCAACTGTTTTACCAAATAGGGTGAGCTTCCCACTCAATGAACGTGGTAACTTCCCAACGAAGTTTGGCGTGAAATTTACAACTTTGGTTCAAATTTCACAATTTGATTGACAACTACGTAATGAAATTGCCTAGTTCCTGGCGAACTTCGGGAATTTCAAATGAACTTTGGAAACCGATTGTCAAAAGTATTGTGAAGCACACTGTAAACCTTAGTCAGATAATTTCGCCTTTTCTTTTTTAAGTCCTTTCATAATATTATGTAAGACAATTTGAAAAGAAAATTATAAGCAAAAAAAGCCCTTAAAAGGTCTTTTGCAATCACTGAACATTCTTAATCTTCCTGATTTTTTTTATAGAATATGCTCAAGTAGAAGCCCTCTGTTGAGAATGATCATTAATTTTGTTCCTTCTGAAAACCACCTTAATACACAAAAAACTTTCTAGACTGTTCTTCGTACTCTGAACATGTGTTTTTTAAGCTTTGTTTCAAATGGTTAGATAAAGGCCCCAAAGTAAAGGAATTTCTTGTCTATTACAGGCATCCCAATACAGCTTGTGAAGTACTTACTGCTGATGTTTATGCTATCATTGACAAGCTAACTAACAATGAGGTATTGGTCTTGTCTTAGTTATACTGTGGTATACAATGCTATTTGTTATTTTTAATTAACAATTAATGAATGAGGCTGAGTGTCTTATGAAGAATTATGGAGATCGAGGAGGGTGTTCGGCTGGATAACACCCTCCAAGATCTCCATAATTCTTCATATGATACAAAAGCTGAATTCAATAATTGTTTTATTATTCATTCAAAATAATTCCTAGTTTAAAAACATAACTTCTCTTCTTACTGTTCTTGCCATGATTTTTTTAGCTATTATTTCACCTAGTTCTTACTCTTGAAACGAGTGAAATGTCCACCATTTTTGTTTTCACAACCAAAACAACTCAACCTCATCCCCAGGTCTTCTCTGTTAACTGTGCATTAACCTGCAAGAAGGTTGCACTTTTGACGTCATTGGTTTATTAAACACAAAATTCTTCCAAATTTGGTCATCAGTAGCTGGTTATGGTGAATTATGTGTGTGCTTTTAGCCAATCAGAATCAGGGAAATATTTTGAACGAATAATAATAACATTTATCAGTGTGTAAAGAAAGGTAAGGAAAAGTATACCCGATAGCCTGGGGCTAGTGGATTTTGCTATCGGGTTAGTAGACGCTTGATAGGCAAGTGAAGTTTTTTGGGGAAATTCAAATTAGAAAAGATTTGCAGTCCTGCTCATAAATTTTTTTTTTGTTGAGTTAAATTGACTCTTGGGCTAGTACATGCTAGGTGCTGTAAAACTGACTTTCTTTGCACCCTGAGTATTTAACTTCACACCAATACTGTAATAAGAATATTGGAGGGTAAGTGAACTTGGGCAGGAAAGCAATGATGAGACTCTCACAACCCACATTTATCCATATGACAACAAAGCAAACAGCAGAGATGTAGAGTTGCTCTACAAAACGTGTGAATTTTTGATGTGGCAAAGAGTATTGTCCCTGAAGCTCCACTGCCCATTACTGATATTGCTTGTGCTAGCTACCATTTGCTTTTACTTAATTCTATGGAGACCTTATCAGACCACCATAGTGCACTTGTTTGAGGTAGAAAGGGTCTCTTCTCATTGATGTGGCATATCATGTGGTTTCTCTGAGAAAACATCTCACATACTGCTCTTACTGTATGTGTATTGATTATTATACTGAAATTTCTTAAAATTATCATCATGAAATATTACTTTGATATGATTTGATCTGTGATCAAATCTGCAAAATCACACCATCAGATAAATTCAGGAGCTTGTCTATACAGTCAACTCTGACACCTCTATAAGACGGACACCTGGTGTTGGTCCCTGCCATTTTTCAGTCATTTTACTGTAACTATACTCTCTATAAGACAGACACCACTCTAAAACAAACAACTGATACTTTTGAAGCCATCAACAGACACTTGAGAAGTGCTTTATGCAGTTAAAAAAAAAATTTAAAATGGAATTGTGTGTGGTCTACATAACAATAAATTGCAAACTTTTTAATAATTTGTAGTCTTTCTCCCGTTTGCAGAGGCTATACTGTTACGCTTGTAGACCACAAAGCCGTGAATGTTTGCTTGTAATGCACATTATGATTGCAGAATAAGAAAATGATTCCACTATTCTGTTACAATGTTCTAGTTTTAGCTGTTTCGCATGAGTTAAACAGACCTGTATTGGTTCAGCTTAAGTTTTAACTGGTGTTATGTTACCTCTACCCCCATATAATCCAGGCACCTCCCTAAGACAGACAGCCGGGGCCTTTCCTGAAGGTGTCCATCTTAGAGAGAGTTGGCTGTATATGCTGCTTTTTAAAAATTATTTATATTTAACTTTTTTTCTCATTGTAGGATCTACTCAACAAAATCTGGTCATTTATGGCCTCGGAACCACCTCTTAATCCTCTACTTGCAAGGTAAAATAAATTTTGGAGATTTTTTTTTTTTTTAAATGTTGGTTTTTGAAGTTTTGTTTTTACCTGAAGGGTAACTATCTGAGTCTTCATGGCAATACCATTTTTTATTTCAGTTTCTTTAGCAAGGTCATGGGAGTTCTTATAAGTAGAAAGACATCTTTGGTATGTATTTGATCATAGGTGATTTCATTTTTTGGAGGTGATTTATCTCTCTTGAAAGCAGTTTTAGAAATTCAGTGTTCGATTTGCTCACTAAGCAGAGAAAAAACAAAAGGCATAAATCCAAGACCCTCAGTTTTTCAACCCTGCTTGGATTTTTGCCCAAATACTGCCTTATAAAAGAATTGAACTTTAAATCCAGATTGAGCTTCAGAATTTGATAAAAAAATTGTCCATTCCTACAATCTGGATGAGTTGCCTGTTCAATGGAATCCGTACATGTACACTGTTCTATAAAACCAACAAACCACTTGTGTCAGGACCGGATATATCGGTTGTTCACAAGTAGTTACCTTTTGGAAATATCCACAATAGACCTATTCGGCTAACTCAATGTTGTATCCAATTCAAATCTCCCGGGGATAAGATTCTTTGTGTATTGTATTTGCATTATAATGTGGCGTTCACATTTAAATGATATGGAAATTCCTGAAACAAAACGTTTTATTCCCAAAGGGTTTGAATTGGGTACAACATTGAGTTAGCCGAATAGGTCTATTTGCTGAGAAAATCTATTGCTTGATACTGCTGTAATTTATTTCTTATTAGAAATCCACTACCATCTCATCACTGAGATCAATATTTCAGTCTCCCTTTTTACCTGTTTAGATGTTGGAGTACTTAAAAAGTAAAGAAGATTTTGTGGATTTAATAATAAAGCACCTTGGAACATCAGCTGTTATGGATTTACTTCTCCGGTTAATAACTAGCGTAGAATCACCACAGCTTCGGCAAGATCTTCTAGAGGTATGCTGGTGATTACAGCATTTGTTTGTCCGGTTCTTGTTTTTCTCTAGACGTACTGTTGTATAAATTAAACGTGTGTCCTTTTAAGCATCACAGAGTACCCAGTGGCCTGTAACTTCAAAATCCTTGGTACTCAATAGTACCAATGAACTTAGAACGTGTACAACAATAGTTTTTGCTCTGTTTGAGACACTTGCAACAGACGATATTCCTACTCCCTAACGATCGTGGCGATTAATTTTGTATCAGGAGGGGGCTTAGCATTCTACACACAGTCCTTGCATTGTAAGGAAGTTAAAGATGACTTGAAAAATAAAGTTTATTAATAAATTCATGTTTAATATATTATTTATCATTATATTCAGTCACAAATGCATGCACATTTTACTAGATGAGAAGTTGAACTCAGACTTATTCAAAAATGACAATACTGAGTAGTTTAAACGCCATTTTACAGATACACACTCAGATAATAAAGAATGATAAGAGGTATTGTCTATCAGTAAGCAGCACAATGAATCCACTGCCTTTCATGTTTTCTTTTTCTGGAATACAGTCATTTTCGAGGCATCCTTATTTGAACTTATTTTAACTGCCCATTGTGGTTCAATGTTTTTTATGCATGTAAATTTTATCCTCGGTTTAAATTTTATTTTTTTTCTTTAAAAATCATTATCATACATTACCATATCCTTAAACAAAAGAAAATAAAATTTCAACCAAGAATGAAATTGAACCACTACATAAATAATTATGTTCTGTGGTTTATAATATTGAATTTACACATTATCATTAAGTGTTATTTGTTGGACCTTCAAACATTACAGAAATAAGTATTGTTAACGTACATTGTGAATTTAAATGTTGACTATCTACCTAATTCAAAATGTGTTTACTGTAGCTTTCATGTGGTGATCCTATTACTACACATCAAGAGTATATAATTTATCACTAGTTTTGAAATAAATCTTGCTGCCATTTATCTGTAAATTGGTATTTGGCAGGTTACATTTTACAGCCAACTTTATTCTAATTTGCACTGTGTAGTTGTCATGAAAATACCATCTTGGGAAAGGCCAACCTATATTGTGTACTTCTTTTCAAGTGCAAACGTCCTTGATATGGCCTTCTTTAAAGGAGCTGTGTCACGAAATTCAGTCAAATTACGAAATTACAAAATGCCCGTTAAATTGAGAGAAACATACAAATAACCGCTTAAAACTTTAAAGGAAGATTAAAATAACATAACAGAAACAACAGATACCACGGATGGGCAAAACTGAAGAAGATTGAAACGGATTGAAATTGGGGTTTTTGAAAACTGTTCAGCCCAACAGTTTTTCAAAGTTGATCCCTGCTGCTTGCAACTTCAAAAATAATGCTCAGGAGACATATTTGTTTGTCTCGGATCTCTAATTTTGTCATTTACCTGTAATTTCTTAGCTTACTTTAAGTTCCATAGCAATTGAGGGCAAGTAATTGGCATAACTAAACAAAATGAACTGGACTGCTGTGACACAGCCCCTTTAAAGTGAGCCATCAAACATTCATTTCAGGTCTTTGTAGGCCTGCACAACTGCTCAGAGCTCAGGGTTCTCATTAAGTGCTAGCAGGCAACTAAAAAACCGGCTACTTGGAGGTTTGAGCTGTCTACTTTTCGGGGAAATAGGGTAAACTGAGAGAGTGAAAACCTGAAATTGCCTACAAAACTCAATTGGCAAGCCGCCTACATTTACATCCTTGCTGTCTACTTTCAAACTTAATGAGAACCCTGAGGGCTATTAAGCTTTAGCAACAGCTTGCAAGTAATTTTCTCATTATATTTTCATGTCACCCTGTAAGGGTGAATATAAATTATCTGAGCTTCTATTTTTGTCTCCTTTCACCTTACAGTGGTTAAATAATCAGAAGCTTGTGGAAAGCTTGGTCTCTCTTATTGATCCTGAAATTGATGAAGATGTGAGTACATTAGCTGGACTGAATTACTGTTGCTCCAGTTTCGTTACTTGACCCAAGAAATGATTTCTTGCAGATGTTACTAACTAATAGAGGGAAGGGAGTTTTTGTACATTTCGAGTGAGATACATTCTGAGCTAATGAAAGAGAGACATAGAACTGCTTCTTTGAGTTTCTTTTATGAGACTCAAACATTGCTGGCAGTTTATCACTATACGCGTTGATACTCATGTTTGTAACTTATTTCTCTCTCTGAAATTTTGTTTTCTGCAAAAAAGAATCAAACAAACAATTCACTTAAAATGGAAATGGTGAGACCAATTTTAACCATGACAGTGGAAAGATTATGTATTTAGTAGATATTTATCAAAGTGAGCATTTATTTATGTTGTGTGTTTCTTTTGCAGAGGAGTAGTAACGCTGCACAAAGCCTTTGTGATTTAATAAGACTCAGTAGAGATCATATGTCACAACTTCAAGAAAATGCTGACCAGGATCCTTTACTTGATGCAGTGCAAAGGTTGGTGCTTCTGTATTGTATAGTTCAACAATCAGTGAACAGATTGTTGAGACCCTTTTGTCAAACAGAGTATATTTAAAAGAACAAACGAGGCAGTCGAGACTCATGTTTCCACACCCACCACCAAAGTTGGCTTGTTTGATGTTTTCTACAGGAAGGTTGAAGACGGGCAGAACATTATTTTTTAGTCCGCTACAGTCCCTCAAAAGAGAAATAAAAATTTTACTTTCCAGCTTCAGTCATGACAGTTGTCTCCTTTACCGGTTACCCATGAGTGAGGCAATGACCCATTGAAATAGAATTTTTGTCTTCATGGCAAGGAAATTCCATGGTGTGTTACAGTTAAGGGTTTGTCACCCAATGTATCGCAATGTATCATGATTAGAACATCAAGCCTAACACTTTTACATCTATTTGCTATGGTGATAATTTTGTTATTATAATTTATTGCTGATAATGGTTTGGAAATTTACCATTGTCAGGTTATGTGTGTCTCAATTCTGAAAGTCTGTGTATTCAACTGAAGTGGATGCATGCTGATGATGTCTTTGATTCTCCTCCCAAAGTGTCCCGTATTTTATGTTAGACAGGAATGACATTACATCAAGAGTTACTATGGTTTTCACGACCCCCTTCAATTGCTACATTATGTTTGTTTGTTTTTTTTTTTTTTCAGGAGAGAGACAGTGTCAGAGTTGTTGGATCACATGCTTCATGATGTTCAGCTTCATCCAGATGTAGCTCTAGTAAATGGAATCTCTGTCCTTCTAACACTTCTTGAAGTCCGTAAAGGAAGGTAGAGCAAACTTCATGTTACAAAACATTTTATTAGTAATGCAACAACCTGGGATACCGGCACAGTAAATACAACTCATTATTACTCAAGCTATGTATACTATCAAAATTTTATTATCAGTAAAAATGTACATGAGGAAATAAATTTGGGAATGACCAGTATTGTTTTATCAATGGTATATTCAGCTGTATTGTTATGACTTTTACAGAGTAACTTTAAAAATTTTGAATGAGTATTTGAAGTATTTCGTTGCAGGGGCTGCATTGTTTCTTAATTAACATATTTTTTTCTTCCTCAGTGGTGAGGGGGAAGAACCCATGACAGCCTTGGATGCTGAAAGACTTGCACAAGGTGAGATAAAACAAAATAATTATTTACCTTTTAAAACTAGAAATATGTGTATGTCTAACAGTGTAGATTTTACAAGTAAAAATGCTAAGGCCCTCTTATGGGGGATAAGTATGCCCTTAGTCTGCATTTCAAAACCTTTGGTTTCTCGTATTGAGGTGAAATCCATGTCCCTGTCAGTCTTTTACTATTGTAATTGCACTTGTCTTTATTGCCATCACAGTTTAAGCCACACTCATGGATAAACCATGCCTCCAATTTTCAGCCTTGATTTAAAAAGGGTTTGGTTGGCATCTTAGAATTTTTGAATGGGCAACTTAACGTGCTGAGTCATGGATCGAACATTGTTCTTATTGAGTTGTAATTGTCATCCATTGATGACCATGTGGAAACAAATCAAGAAAATGCATCATTTCTATGAAGCACATAGATCTTCAGGCTTGACAAAGAACAAGAAATCATGCTGTTTGTAAATCAGACTCGTCTTCAAATCAAAAACATAAGCGATGTTGCTTCCTTTACAGATGGATAAGATACATATCCACCTTGAACCCTAAAACTGCTGAGTACATTACAAATTTTGTCCTACTTACAGGTGTCAGTGCTACTCTAGCTGCCTTGACCCCAAGACTCAAAGATGTTCATCAGCTATTAGTGGATCCTCCGCCAGTAAGGAACAATCATGTTTGCTGTATTTCTTCAAATAATAGCCTTCTCTCAGTTAATCGCCTACCTCAGTAATCGCCCCCCTGGAAGAAAGATTTAAAATAATGACCGCCCTTGATTAATCCCCCCCCCACACCACTTTTGCCATGATCGCTTTCTTTTATCCAGCAGAACTGATCAGTGATGATTCAAGCTCTGACACTGAGGATATCTTGACATATTAAAAATTAATCAAGGAACCAAATTTAGAACACTTACAGAGCCCATGTTCATTGTTTGATTTAATTGTTTGATTGAAAAATTAGGACACGACTTCCAGTGAGCACTATTTGAAATAATCGCCTCCCTCACATTAACTCCCCCTTATTTGTCTAAAAGTAATAAGAATTGCCCTTGGCTATTATTCAAGGAAATACGGTGTTTTAATAGTAAAACCGACTGGATGTAGAGCTTTTAGGCTCCTCGTGAATTTTCTTAGATGACAGTGGTTAGTTTTGCAAGTGAGCTACTTGATGTATGTGTCTCCTTTGGTTGTTAACTCACCCCCCTTCAATATAACATGGGTACAAAGTAGAATGTGTCATTGCACAAGGTTTTTTTTTTGGGTGGCGGGGGGGAGGAGATGGAGTAGTTGGGATAATCATTCCAGACGGCAAACTAAAATGATCTCCCTCAATGCTGCTATTGTGGTTATTTGTCTATTTTAGCCAGTGCTATACTCCTAAAGCAACTTGTAATAAACAAATGCAATTTTCCTTACATGGCATTTTCATTTTCTTCTTAGATGAAACCAATGTTGACGACTATAGGCACTTTGGACCCTCCCCTAGGGAATGCTCGACTTCAAGCCTCTAAACTGATTGCTGCTGTATTAGCTACTAACAGTGATACAATTAATGCAGAGCTAGCTAACTTAGGGACTGTAAAAGTTTTATGGGTATGTATTATAGTCTTTTTTGAACTTCAGATAATCCATTTTCTCAAGTGAATTTTTAACTTAGTTTTGTCTTCCTACAAGAAGTGAATGTAGATAATGCAACCATAGGTAGTGCCTGGACAAAAACCCAAAGTGTAGTGGCTTCTGATAAACTGCTTATTTCTTCCATGTATCTTATCATGATGCAGATAATTTCTCCTATTTTCCTCTGTTCAAAAATTATCAGCACAGGACTATCATTAAGGGCAAGGAGGAAGAGATTTCCCTGGCTCTAATTGGAAATTTACAGCAATGTAACCCCCAACTATGAAGTTGGCAGAAATGTGATTCATTGACGATAAAGTCAAACAACAACAACAACAACAACAACTTTATTAAAAAGCATTGAAATACTTTAAACATACACAGATTTGTGGCTGCAACGAAAGGAGGTTAATTTCAACCAGATTACCAGATTTTAGTTAAACAAACCTGCAAGGGTTAACTTTTAATTTTTTTAGGTTCGGTAGTCATGTCACTGCAAGCAGGATTTTGCAGGACATGGTTATTAATGTTTAGTGCAACATTGTCGTTTGACACTGTCTTATTTGCAGTTCTATGTGAGTGGTTAAGTTACTTTCAGCCTTTGAGCTCAGATCTAATAATCTCTTCTTAACTTGCAGGAGTTATTTTTTAAGTATTCATGGAATAATTTTCTCCACACCCAAGTGGAAAAGTGTATAACCACAATTTTAAATAATCCTCCAACGGAAGAAGATGGAGAACAATGCACCCCTTTGGTGGATGTTGTAAGTTTGCCTTTATTTACAAGGTTGTTCCTGAGGGTCCCCTTGTCATTCGAAGGTTATGTTGACATTATACTGGTTAGCTTTTTCTGCTGACACAAGAACCATCCAGTATAGTATGAGCACCTATCCGACATCAAGCCCTAGGATTTCAAATCCCATGGATTACAGTTTTTCAGTTCCGTGCCCAGAGATCATGGGAACCCATTGGTAACATTTTCTTGGTTCCATGAAAATTCATGGGAACCCACTTTTATTTTTTTTGATGTACAGAAACATGTTGTTAAACATACTTGATAACTAAAGAACATCATTTTGATCCCTCAGGGTATGTCACTGGGAAACTATTTTTCGGTTCCTCTATTTTAAAATCACGGTAATGACACAGTATCGGAAAAGATCGTTACCGTGAAATCCTAGGGCTTGCGACACGTGACTCTCTACTTTAGAGAATGGTGCAGTGTGGCGTAGCTCTGCTCCTTTACAGAAATTGTGCCAAATTCCTCTTTCTTACCGTACCTGTGAACAGAAGCCCTATCCAGTATGGTTTTCTTGCTGGTGCAAAAGCTATCTGGTATAGCCTAAATCAAAATGATTATGATAGTCTCACTGTGTCTATATTAAGGAATATTTAGTTCCATCTTTTTCCTGGCACAAAAATTTTTAACAAACTGTAACTCCCTCTAAACATTGTGAAGAGTGAAAACATTCAAACGTTCTGCCGTCAAGCAAGACATTTCTTTTTATCATAACTTTGATATTTTATTATATTTTAGGCTTTAACAGTGATTTTGCATTGTATTTTTAGTCTTTTTAACGTAGATCTTAAATTCTATTATTGTATTTTTATTAGGCTTTTTAAATGTAATAGTTTATGAAAATTCTTGATGTAAATTAATTTTTAAGATACAGGGCCCCTATGGAGACCAGCCTTAGAGCTGAATGGGCTACCCTGTGTAAATAAAGTTTTACTTACTTACTTACTTACTTACTTACTTACTTACTTACTTACTTACTTACTTACTTACTTACTTACTTACTTACTTACTTACTTACTTACTTACTTCAATAGTAATACAAAGCTGAAGAGATTTTGTCATCTTTTGTTGTCTTTTTCTGTAGTTATTTAGAGACTGCCAGATTATTCAAAGGATTCTTCAAGAGTGGGAAGATCAAGAGTCAGACACGTAAGTTATATACAGTGATGATAATAATAATAAGAATTTCCTTTTGTCAGTGTGGAAATTATATAAGACTTGAAATGCTTCAAAGCCATTTGCATAATTTATTTCTTCATATTATAGTCTTGATGATGGCATTTTGATGATGCTGAAAGGTTGTCTTTTAACGCTCTTACTTACTTGTTTCTGTTTCACTAAATCAATGTTAATTTAATAATAATAATAATAATAATAATAATAATAGTAATGATAATAATAATAATAATAATAATAATAATGATAATAATAATAATAATAATAATAATAAAATTTAATACAATATACATCAACAACTAAATAAATGTGTGCCATTACATGTAGGTTAACCTCTAGAAGTGAACAGCAAAAATGTATCATAATGCTGAATTATGTTGCGGGCTAAGCCTATTGAAAAAACAACTTGTGCAATGTTTGCCTGGAGCATTATAGCAGATTTACTTTAATGATAGTATGTGTCTGGTTAAATTTATGCAGAGGCCAGAAGAATCTCCGTAAAGGATACATGGGTCATTTGACAAATGTGGCGAACAGCATTGTGCACAGTAAAGAGAAAGGCAAAAACAAGGCTGCTCTTGAAACAATATTTTCTGGTAGGTGTAAACTACAGTTCAGTGCTATAGGCATTGGCAGTTCAGTTAATGTTCAAGTGAAGCTGGGCCTAAAAGAAAAAAAAAATTGAATTGCCCGAGGCCATTGCTTGCTAGTCTTTATTAATAGTATTTTCATCACACCATGACTTGCTTAGATCCTTACCCACTGGGCAAGTGGGCTTAAAAGTTACTTGCCAAGCAAGAAAATGTGCTGAAAAAATAAGTTAGATAGTTAAGAATTGTAGAACTTTAAAGGAATCAAGAAGGCCCAACACAGATGGACAATGCTTTTTCCCTCATGAAAATTTTTCAGAAATCTTGAGTTCACCTTCTGATATTGTTAATTTTGTTATTCTGGAAATTTTTAGATTTGCCAGAGAAGGTTCGTGAAAAGTGGAATACGTTTGTTAGCGGCAAGTTGGCAGAAGTCAACAAGCAAAATTTATCTGAATTGGTGAGTCATACCTGTGGAAGGAATATTGATATTTTCTTAGCCATTACTCAATCCATTAATGCTGTGTTTCCCAACATGAGTGCTAGTCCTTATCTTGGCCCTTGCAACCTGAGTAAGCATAACCTGACATCCAGATTACAATCTTGATGTAGCTTGTCTTATGCTTGTTGTCTCACATTTTATTGAAACTGATGCAAGAAAACAGATTTTTGTGCATTTTAGGGACTTCCTCTAGTAAAGTCCAGTGTCCCCTGGCAATCTACTGTTGCCCTTCAGCATCCAGGAAATCTTAGCTTTTGCAACAATCTTTTATGCTGGACACCTTGGATTTCAAGTTCTGAGCTTGTGGGCTTCGTTCAATTTTTAGAGAAGACCCAGATTTTGCTTTCTTTTTACTCATCAATGGAATTGTCCTATTTACCGCTTTTCTTGTCATTCCAAAATTGTTTTAAGCACAAATAGCCTAGTAGCTAGTGGCTGTCATAATTTACTAGTTGTTCTTTCTTTCTTTCTTTCTTTTTTTTGTATCAAGGTTGGTCATCATTTTCAGTCATCTTCAGATGATGATGATGATTTCAAGCCAATATCATTCTTACACACAGAAAGCTCACTTCAACAGGTAGAAATATTCAGTTTAAAATGTGGGGTAATTTACAGTTCACTTCTGACATTTCAACACCCTTGGGGGTGTGAGTTATTGTCCTTAAAATAATGCGAGTCCACAAACGTAAAGTGCATGAGCAATTTCTTAAGAAAACATGTGCATTATAAGGGCAATGTGTATTTTTATTTAATACAATTTTTAATTTGCTGCACAAAAATTCATAAATCCAACAAAATGACAAATAATTGAATAATATTAAATAATTATTGTTGAAGTATATTTTGCATTGCCATTGTCAGGAGAGTTAGAAATGGTGATGTCATGATCTAAAAAAGTGTCTTACTTCCATAATAGCAGGAGTTGATTGTAGTGAAATGTCTGAAATTTGGTTGGAGCTTAAGCTGCCAACCTGTCATAGTACAGTAGCTAGGTGTCTGAAGTAATGAGGTCCTCACAAGACGAGAGTTGACTTTAATATGAAATGCCTTGAAGGCCTCCAGATTTGCTTTTCTCAACATGGGATTGCTGGTCCTGAGTGTTTTTCTGTTCGTTCTAAAAGCGGAATGTGGTGATTGTGTGGTGATCATGTAAAAAGATTACTCAATAAGGTTCTGCTAACACTCTTTGTTGGTGATTACTTTTAGAGCGTTTTGTGGTGTGGGACTTACATGTATCTTGTCTGTTTTTCTAAGGCATTTTCTCGGTACCAGATGCAACAAATAACATCAGAATTTATGGACACATTTGGCCGTGATGAAGAAGAGCTTAAGGACCCAGATGACTTAATTAGGTAAGACACAACTGACAAAGTTGAAAAACATTGCAATAAAAAGATCACACTAAGTTATTTTCATCTAGAAAATAACAATATTTTGGAGTAAATTTGATTGATTTTGATAAATTAAAAACCCCTCACCTTGATTTAAGCTTTGATTTTAACAGGTAATAGTAATCTGTGACAGTGATAATCAACCGTGTCAAGGTTTAAAGGATTAATGACCTTATTTCTTTCTGTTGCAGCGGCCCGTTTGACAGAATTGGGGATATCAGTTTTTCAATAAATACACATGAAGATAATGTGAGTCTGGATTGTGAAAACCTTTTACTTACAGTCAATAATTTATGGTACAAATTGGAGTGGGACTGCTTTATTGAGCTTAAAATGCAAGGTGTAGCCCAGTGTTATAGACTTGTTGGAGCAGGAATGGTGAGGCAATTGAATGACTTCAAAATCTTCTACTGTAGTTGTATTGATTTTGGCAGTAGTATTTAGATTTTGGGTTATTATAGTCAATATAATAAAACAAGACACTCATTAAAGAGTATTTTTCTTTGTATTTTTTTTATGAAGTATTACTTAGTTTTTACAAAGAAATACTAGAGAAGTATTGTTAAGCCTCTGAAAACTGATTTAGAAGCAATAAACAGCTCTTTACTTGTATGTGAAGGCACTTAAACTGCAGCCGTTGTTTTTTTGAAACTGCAGCCTAACACTGCCCTTTTTGAAGCTTGCTGTAATGAAAAAATTCAACAGTTTGATGATAGTGGGAGTGATGAAGAGGTAAGTGTGTGCTTGGACTCTTCTATCATTTTAATACTAAAGAAAAATTACACCCGATGGGCAAGCTGGGGTGTTGGGTACTTATAGGGTCTAACATTTACATTTATTTACATTTTGAAGGCAAGCCCCTCATCTGAGCAAATCATGCTCTGACAAAGAACTAGCACTCAAAGCGTCCATTTCTCGGATCATTCTAAAATTATGTTTTTGGGAAACTGCCCACCTACCCCTCCCCTAAACTAACATTTTGCCCTAAGTGAGAAGTAAGTGTCAATGTTGGCTAAAGGAAGGGGTAGGTGGGCAGTTTCCCAGAAACGTATAACGATCCCATTTCTCTATCTCCCTAGTTGGCCATTCTACTTTATCTACTCAGTTGACAAAATTAAGTCTTTGTATTTCACTTCCCCACTAATGCAACAGCTGAGTTTCTGAAGAAGCTAACCCTTAATGGCTCACGTTCAGTATATTAAAATTCAAACATGACTCCAAGGCTTTAGGGTCCATTGTCTTGCAATTCCCAAAGGACTTGAGGACAAAGAAAACCAAACCGAGTATAGAAAAATGACCAGAAAGCCTCAGAGTCAGAATTTTGATAATATTGAACATAGGCTATTCAAAAGTAAGGTAATTTACCAGTTACATACAAAATTAGGAGCTGTCGATAAGAAGCTATCTGTGTTGTCGTCACAAAATTTAAATTTAATGTAATTAAAGATACTATTCATTTAGGTACATTTATGTCTATGATATGCTCATTTTTTATTTGTCTCAAGATGTACAATCATGAGACAAACGATAATCAATAGCAATCAATAAGATTTTTTTGTTTGGTCTGTAGGAGATGTGGGAAGAAAAGGAGCTCACATTTTCATCCATTGTTGAATCAAGACAAAGGTTGGTGACAAAATGCATAGGTGGCCTTTTACTGAGGTGATCCAGCGTGCAAAGAAAGTCGTGTCCGATAGCCCGGGGCTAGTGGATTTTGCTATCGGGCTAGTGATTTTTGTCCTTAACTTGCCCAACGGGCAAGTGCTGTGTTTTTGGGAATTTCAAATTACAGAAGGATGGTAAATAATCCTGCTAATCAAAAAGGGTTTTGGGGCTAGTTGAAATGACTTGTTGGCTAGTACATGCTGGCTACAGCTTGCCCGATTGGCAGGCTGTGAAACTGACTTTCTTTGCACCCTGTGATCGTAAGGCAGAGTGCCACCTTATTATTGTCATTGTCATTATGAATTTGCTGATTTCATCATTGCTCTGCACCCCTTCCACTCATTCTTTATGACACTTTTATGAGTTTCTTGCTGGTTGTTTGACACCTCAGTGATGTTTGGTCTCAATTTGCAGTACCCTGTCCCCTGAAGCAGGAAGTGACAGTGAAAGCAGTGACAGTGAAGATGATTTAGAGTCACCTGGGCATAAAGTTCCCAATGTAGGATTTGAAGGCAGCAGCCCACAGGGATCACCAGTTAAACAAGCACCTGCCTCTAGCACTGCTTCAGATAGCAAAATGGAAGTTGATCCCTCTGATGGTGTGTTATTAAAAAGTCTGTTACATCACATTCTCCCAAATGGCCCAAATCATTCAACATAAACCACATTTTCTGTGATTCCTTTTTACAGTACTAGTGAACCTCCCCTCCAGCTGACACACAATGGCTAACTCATCCTTAGCAGCCACCATATTTCTCAGCCCGTGAATACAGCCACTTATTATCACTTCTTGTCTCTAGGGATGTTGTGTGAGAGAGATGTCAGCGTTTTGGTCTCAAAAACCCATACTGATGATGTAAATCTTTCCAGAGTCTGGTCAGGAGCTCTGATTGGTTGACTAAGTAGTCTTATACTCTTTCAGCTATTGTTTAGAAGTGACAGACCAAGGCCAAAAGGCCACAAACATCAATTGTACGAGTCTTCAAATTAATCAAAAATACTCATTTCCTGCAGTGTGTCGCTTGGCACTTGGTTTACCTTATTCTCTTTGGAATTTTCTCCACATGTTTTACCATTATTATCCTTTCCAGCATGGTCAATGGCATTTGGACAAGGTGAAGTAGCCGTTGATGAAGCTGTTTCTATGGATGCTTCCGATGTAGGCTGGGGAGATACACCAACAACGACAGCAGACACTGGCTGGGCCACATTTGACAGTTTTACAGACATTCGAATGGCTCCAAGCAGGTGTGAACTCAATATGACTATTAGTCACGTGCAACCTGGCACTTTCTTAAAATATCTTGCCAAATAAACTGCATCCACTTGTTTTCACGGCTTTCACCCTCTAGAACCCCAATAAACTTCAAGCACTGATGGCATTGTGGGTGTGGCATTACAAATAATAAAGAGAAGCTGTTGACCTTTCAACACAATTCAGTTCATCTCGGGTGATTGTGTCCTTAATTCTCATAACTTTCCTGTTCGATTTAGCTGCTGGTTACAGGGTGAAATCAGATGCTAATAACTCTGTGGGAATATAGCTTTAAACATGGTTGTGCTGAATTGTAGTGACTTGAGCTTCCAGAGCCAGCTCTCAGGCTCAGCTATGTTATTTTGTTTTAAATAACTTTAAGCTAACCTGTGACTCCCCAGTGTTGTAACCTCCACATCTGTACTCAGTATACTCCACTGTGGTCCTGTTTACTTGCTGTTTGAACCTTACACGTGGTTGACTTTTGTTGTTTTCAGTGAATCATCGGATGATGTAGGCGATTCTCCTGTAGCCATGGAAACAGAGACACCACAATTTATTGCACAGGCAGGAGCAGCATACAGTGAGTTAACTGCCGTCGTGGATAGTAATACCTCAGCCTATTGATGTGCTTGTGATACAATACTCAATTTATCAGTGAACAAAAACGTATACTCACCGTTTTGTCAATGAGTGATTTGTGTGCTGTAGAGAAAATGTCATGAGTGTTGATTAGAGTAATGGGCTTGTTTTTCCTTCAACAAGTCAGATAGAAAGTTTTTTAATCCCTGTTTCAAAAAATATATTTTGACCCTTTAAGTAACCCTAGAAATAAGATATGGGCAAAAAGTTTGTTCTCCGTTGTCAATCCAAGTTATCTCTATCTCCACATGCTGACGGGACAGTTTTTTTTTCCCATATGAAGATTTAGCTCCCAAAATGCTTCACTTCGTCATATCGTTACTTATGACGGAAGGGTGGGGCAGCTAAATGTTTTGCCGATGGGGTGGGTGCTTATTTGGGGGAGGTAAATAATTGGACCGATCGATCATTTGAGGAAATACAGAACTGCACTGGATATATAGATAAATGATACACTCTCCTGCTTTAATTTTGTTATAGTTGTTAAAGAAGATACTAGCCCAAACAAGGAAGATGAGCTGAGGTACTTAATTAAATCAACACTCTTTTTCTCTACAACCTGTTATTTTACTCAGTTATCTATAAGTCGCCACTTGCCTCGTCCTTAGGCCTCATTGTTCCGCGCGGCCAATGCGTTTTGGGTCACGTGGTCCAAGCGAGTTATGCATTGACTGAGAAGGCTCGGAAATATGTCTTACAGGGACCAGGCAAAGTCGCGTCTGAGAGCATATGAATTTTTTTATTAGAACACAAGGCCTCGTGTCCAGTGCTGAGGATCTTGGAGTTACCCGGAATACAGATGAAGAGAAGTCTACAGAGCAGACTGAAGCTTCCCCTGCCTTGGACAGAGCTGCTTTGTACAGGTAAAAATAACCGGGAAGCCAGAATGGTTATTTCAAATATCGAAATAGTAATATCGTGTTCTGATTAAGTAGTTTAATAAGACAATGTCAAAGTTAACCTTCCCGTTCCTCGTTTCCTTAAAAAAGACAAGCATCTGTTCGTGAAAAATGTTTTCGTGTGATAGACGTCATTTACCGCAGAGTAGTATGTTTGTTTACCCGTTTCACTTCTAGCTAGTTATTTTGGAAATAAAAGGTCGAGAGCCAGAGTTTCACTGCAATAGAACGCGTAGACGATCGAATGAGCCAATCAGGTCTCACAGAAAACACGTGGCGGGAAAACGCCTGTGAACAAGTGACGATTGCTTTCAGTTTTGATTCTCATTGGTTGGGAAGGTAGTGTAAGATTTCTTAGCCAATCAGAATGCAAAGCAGGTCAAAATCAAAGTAAAAACAAAACTTGTTTTCTGTTTTGTCATCAGGTGCGAGGCTCAACCAAGTGATAGCTCAGCACCTTTAGCGACAAATGATAGTGATGATGACATTTCAGATGACGAAACCACTCCAGACAAATGTGAGGAAGCTTTCTCTAGGTGAGATGGGCTGAACAACACCTCTGTTCTTCCTCTGTATTTTATTGGCACTGATTTCTACACTTCTGTGTTGTAATACTCCTTTTTGCAGCATTTTAGGAAAAAAATTTGGAATGTTATAGGGTGTAAAGTTAAATTTCAACTTTCTCCAACATATTAACTAATTCCAAACGCCATGTTCTCCAAACGTCTTAGCTTTTTCCGTAAACACCATAAATAAACCTGCACCGTGAGCTCAGAAACTTGTAGCTTGTAGAGAAGAAAAATCGAACTTGTTTAAGCGATGCTAAATACATTGTAATAACGCTTTTTAGACTGACAGATGAAGGAACAACAGGAGAAGGGTCTCTGGGCAGTGAGGTACTGGTAAGTTGTGTGTTGAGTGTGGTCCATTTTGTGTATTATCGCCAATTACGCGTCCTTACTCGCTATGGAACTTAAAGTTAACGAACAAATTAACTTGTGACTGACAAAAGCATAGCTTGGTTATAAGCGAGTATACCTCCCAACCATTATATTGAAGCTACAAACAACAGAGGGTCGTTTTTACCTTTCATTTCCTTGCAAGAACATAACTACACTGTGGAGTACATTGTATTCGATCTGGCTTACACCACCAAGTTGTTGTGTTGTGTTGACTTAGGCCTAACCGGGGGTCTTTCGTTGTTTTCGTATGCAGCCCCTGAATAATGTTCACGAGGCCAAAATGACAAGTTCAAAGCTGGATAATGGACCTGTGGAATTTACTACGGACAAGGCACATCAAGGATCGTCAAAGAAGAGTAAAACGGATCAAGACGCACCGCGGTAAATCAGTAAATCCATTGGAAGCGTTTATTACCTATTTTTTCATCGCTTGTAGGTGGTCTTATTTAAGGGTACTTTGCCTAGTAGTATATAAGGGATGTTTTGCTCCTTTTTCGCGAATAAATCGTTTACTGAGCAGAGGAATACATCACCTCCGATGATGTCATAGCGTTTTGTCTTTGTCTCTTGACTAAAATGCTTGGAATCTCATTTTCGGTGGTTTTTGCCGGTTGAACGAGTTATTTTGTTATTTTTACGTCGTTGAATGTCTTGGTTCATGACTGGTTCAATAAAAACTGAGAAAAGTGTTTATTTATGGATTCATGTTGTCGATGAAATCAAGCCGCTTGTGGCGGTGATGAGACAAAGACAAAAGGCCACAACTTCATCGGCGTTAATGTATTTCTCCGCAAAGTAACAAGATTCCTCGGCAAAAAAGGTGTATAACATCCCTTCTATACTACTTTGAGATGACGCGAAATCTCTTAACCTCTATTAAGCGTTCACTTACCAAACATCCAAAAATCGTGTTTTGTAATTACTGTTAACCTGACCTCTAGTTAAGCGTTTGTAGTCACTAGCCTTTCCCTTTTTATTATTGAATTATTTTTTAATGTCCTCACCAGCAGCTGATCACTGAATGAACCTATATAAGCCATAAGTTGACTAGAAGCGACGACCTGTTTTTGACCATTAATATCTAAGAAACATCCAAGCCTGTTACATAATCGTTTGTTCTTTTGTGCGACTTTTAAATGTTACAAACTATTGCAGCGAGCAACATGTTGTTTCTTATCAGTGTGATTCTGTGTTTCAGGTCGCCTCTAAAAGAGTTAGTGGAGTCACAAACAAATCTAGTGAATGGCCCGGGATAGCTTGAAAAAAGAGAATTAGTGGCTTGGTCACTGTTTGTAACCTTGATAATTTTGTATGTTTATAGATGACGGACTGTGTAAAATATTTTAATAATGGCTTGGACTGCAGTGTCAGTCCAGCCATGCGGTTTAATAGGAGCCATGATATTCTGTATTCTAGAACGTCTTTGTAAATGCGAAGATTTCTTAAAAGTCACTTCATTTGACCAAAGGATAGGGAACTTAGAGTCAAATTTTTAATGTTATGATATAGCAAATCTAGGGAGGATAGCCTTCTTTGTAAAGATGAATTGTTTGCTTACTTACTCGTTCAAAAGATGAACTATCTGATGTTTACTGCGCTCCTGAAGTGATCATATTATTTTGACTTTTCATTATCCTGGACAGAAAGCAGGTCGAGATAAGAGTTGGGAAAAATAAAATAATCAACGAGGACAGCGAATGTGGTATAATTATTATCAGCGCTACTTTGACCGTTGTGGCGGCTTACTAGAACACTCCCGCTAAAGGGTACACTTAACGTAAAAAAAATTCTTACTGGACAATTGTTTTTACATCTTTCACAGCTAGTTCTGCTTTTAAAATGGCATTTGTTTTCCTGTGAGAAGTTTAAAAGCACTGCTACATCTAAGAAAAAATGTAGAAAATAGACCTCTTTCTTCATGGCGGCCTATTAATATGTTCTCCCGGGGGGTAGTTGGGTTAATTTTTGGTCGGTATGTGCCGCTGGCCTCTCAAAGCTCCTACCCCATTATAGTCTATTCTGTGGCCAATTATAGACCCCATCTTAAGGCGCTTTCCAGTTGTCAGAGCTGACCGGCCAAACCATTCCCAACCCAATGAGAATTTCCATTTTAATCAAATGTCTCCAGCCAGATCAGTCAAATCCTAAGTAGAAATGGTTGTTCAGCACAAACTCTTGGAAAAAGCGACTGGTCGGGCAATGGTCCGGCCGGCCAGTTCTGACAAATGGAAAGCACCCTTAGTCACGTTTCGGCAAATATGTAATTTTCGCGATCCAAACTTAGTCACTTTCTATTTTTATGAACTGAACCATTTTTTAGATTGAACGAAGACCACGTTACTTTTCATCTACAGTACAAACATTCTGGTACGTTTGCTAACCGTAAATAAGAACTGTCTTATCCCCAAAAATCGGAAAATGTGCGACCTCATTCTAGTAACTCTACTGAAAATGCGACCCCACCATAGTCAATCCAATCGTGAAAATTCGACCTCATCCAGGGGCACATCCCCATTAGCCTCTTATAAGGAAGTATCCTTCGAGTATGTTCTAGAACTCTTTTGTATTTTGCACATGCTAACGAGGTCAGGAAGGCTGAGTATAACAATATAAAAGAATGTATTACCGCGCTTTTCACAAACATGCGAACTCTTAAGTTCAAAAGCCGCCTTCACAATTGCGTTTTTCATTATAATGATGCAAAGTCTATTTGTCAGCGACGTTTTCATGGACGTTGCCGTTGCCGGATCGTAAGGTCCCTTTTGAAGACAGAAGGGGTGAAATTTTTACTATTCACTGTGTAGGTGCGTATGATAGAAATCGGGTAAGAGTCAATAGAGACTAAACAGCAAATTCAATTATAGTTCGGTCGGATTGAGCTTTAGTCAAATTGCTGCAATGATCAGTTATTTAGAAACTATGTTTTGGGGCGGTGAAGGAAAATTAAAAGAAATGTGGTGGCGGTGCTGGTGACGGAAAAGAAATGTGATGGTGTCGATCGAGGAAGGAAAACTAATGAAAACGTGATGGTGGAAGGAAAACATCGAGGCTTTTAAAAAATGAACACCAACCGCTTCCAGAAACTCAAACTATCATGACTCACCCTATGGGCAAGGTTGGAAATGTCGTCACCCTATGTGTGCTATGGTATACTCCTTGCTGTACTCATTAACCTCGACCTCAACAAGACTACAATGATCAAGCACATGAGGTCTGCTACGCGAGCCCCAACTCCCATAGACGTACGGTAAATAACTATTTACTGTACAATATAGGAGTGAACATACCGTACACGGCCGCTTGTAAGCCTTCCCACTTGTAAGCCCCCAAAGTTATAAGCCCATCTGCTTGTAGACAAAAACATACATCCGTTTATGAGTCCTTCCCCCGGGTATCAGCTCCCCCCTCCAAATGTATGGAAAAGAATAGCTTGTTTCGAAGCGCTCTTTCTATTCCGGTTAAAAGACCCCTCGGATGTAAGCCACTCCATTTGAACAGGAGCACCCAACGACTATTTTCTGTAAAATATCTCATTTGGAGAGGAAAAAATTGCCTAGAATTTTCTATAGCTGTAGGGAGGCTAAAAATTTCTAGACGGCCGTTCATTCATGTACAATTTTCGAACCTTATCTAATAAATTCCTACCATTTTCTTAAGTATTGTTTTTCGCATAACAGGTTAAGTTATTTTTCGTAAAAAAAGGAAACTTAAAATTTCCGGATTCAAAAATGCAACGGAGAGAGAAATCAGAAAAATTCTTAAATTTCGTAACTCTTAACATTGCATCTGAATTTTCGGGAAAATAATAATCAAGCCCGTTTTAATTTCGAAAAGACTCAATTTGCCCTAGGATGACCGAACAGATACAAATTTTATAGCGCCGCTTAGAATGCATTTCTATAGATCTAAAAGTACTCTGGATAGCCTAAAAAGTGTTTTCAATGTATGTAGGACGAAAACGTCGTTGGGTACCCTTGTTGTACAAGGGCACCCAACGTCAATTTTCGGAAAATATCTGTTCGGAAGACGATTTGAGATCTAGAATTTTCGGAACATTTGTTGTAAAATTTCTTGCTTGCTTGTCTCTCCTAGGGTTTTCAAACATCTAAAAAATGGTCTAATTGCTCATTTTTAACGAAGTTTTACCCTAAAAAGGTCACCTAGAATTTTTATTTATTAAATTTATATAACACCATTTGGCCAGCTGCTGATAATGATCCCTGAAATTTTCGAAAAGGTAAGTTTTGATCCCTACAATTTTCGGATCCACAGACTTTCAGCTAGGAAATCCGAACAGCTGAAAAATTTTTAGGGGATAAAAATATGCCTATATCTACCGTTTAAAAACTAAACTACGTTTGACAATGTTATGTTTAAGTGGTTTTGAACTATATTCTAGTTAGGTGCCCCCGTTATAAGCCCTCCTAGAACCCCTTACGAAGATGTATAATCCCAGGGCTTATACTCGGAAGTCTACGGTATTCACATGTCACGAGGCGTTTTTGTCAGGAAATCGCAAACCAACCCTGAGTATCAGCCTCACAGCAAATTCCTTTTTATTACGATAGGATTACGATAGGATTATACTGATTATTATATTGATTATACTGATTATACTTATTTTTATTACGATAGGATTATACTGTTACTCTGATTTTTGTAATGACCGGTTAATTACTCCTTAATTTTGGCGCGAAATTTCAGCGTTTATGCTACTACATGATAAATTTCTGCAATTTGATTGGCTTAGAGCAGTGGTATTTCAGCTTAATTTGAAATAACTACATGTGAAAATTACAAACCCTTTGTGGGTAGTAGTATAAACAAATAATAGCATGATTTGTACGTGATATTTGGCGTAACAATTTCGAAATATCACTCGTGGTATTTATGCCAAATATCACTACAAATCATGCTATTACCTATACTAATTTGTAATTACAAAATTGCCATGGCAACCTTCCGTACGTCTCAGTGTCAAGATGGCGACGAAGTTTTAAAATGCCGTGAATGGAGATGTCAGGCCACAAAAAGACGCTTTAGAAAACCTGGACACACAAGAGAACATCAAGAAGGGTTCTAACAGGTATTTTGCCGTAAAAGTCTGAAAAATTCTGAACCTTATAAGCCAAATTTAGGGTCTAAACATTTGAGAGAGTGGAGTTCTCGATCGATACGATCCAGGATAAACATGTCAAAAATCCAAGATTGCTAACGTAATTCGTCACCCATGATATTAATAGGTAATCAAATGGTATCCTCGTGAAATTAGGGAATAATTTCACTCGTCACCATTTGATTACACATACTAATACTGTTTGTCGATCACTGGAAAACATGCACACAGCTGTTTTCTAAATCAGTAACAAATAGCTGACCATTGTTTGAAACGGCTACAGAACAAGGACCAGTAAGCCCAGTGTCAATTGAATTGACAAACTGTCCTTCAAGAGTAAAAATCATAAGCCTTGCTGTATCACGATCACACACCACTAGGTTATTGAACTTGTCAATTGCAAGGCCAACAGGACACTTCAGCTGTCTTTCACCAGGGTCTGGAGTGCCGACACTGCTTGGAAACTCACGATCCTTGCTGAAAACTTTAACATTACCTGCCTCATGATACGAAACAAAAAACTTATTTTGGCAACACACAGCATAGCACGGAGTTTCACGGTCAGGATCAGTGATTGTGAGTAAAAGCTGTGTGCCGTCAGAGGACAGTACCTTGACTGTATCGTCATACCAGTCACACACCATCATACGCCCATCGCCTGCAATTGTCAGGCAGTGTGGTGTCTTAATGAGTTTGTTGGCGACAAGTTTTACAAATTTATAGCTTTTATCGAAACAAAAAATTTTATCAGACGCAGTAACTATTAATTCACTTGACTTGCTGAATGCTACCGATGTGGGTTTATTAAGTTGGTTGGTGCTAATATCTCCCATATACTTTCCTTCTGAACTAAATAGCTGTACCCCATTCATCAAATCGGCCACCGCAACGTTCTTTGAATTGTCATCTATTGCAATACAAATGGGCCAATAAAGTACAGGCTGTCCTCGTCTTTCCCCAATTGAACCAAAAGAAAAATGATACTTGTAATGATGTGCAGTGACATGAACACGCCATGGATTACCGGGTAGGAGCTCACCGTTTACCCCAATCAGTACGTCGTGTTGTCCAACACAAACTGGTGTGTAAGTGACATGAAATACACCATCCACTCCCCGGGCGATGAAATGATTCAATTCCTTTCCTGATGAAGATTGTACTTGTACATGAATCTGATCCATATCGTCATAGCACCAGTTTCCATCAAAATCTTTTGTCGTAATCTTAACTGTTGCTTCGTTTCCCAAGTTCCCATTTTTCAGCCCTGTTCCTTCAATCATCGACTGCTCAGGATTTGTGTTACTTACTACAACTCGACCGACAGCAGTAACTGCGCTTCTCACATTTTTTACATGCTCTTCATTTATCTGGTATCTGACATGCGATGGCTTATAAATGTATAGTTTCTCTGCATTTAAAAGACCTCTGCACCGTGCAATAAGAACATGATGCACTTGCAAAATTTCGACGCTTTTCCTTCTCAGTAAGATGCCTTCGCACCACTCGACCTGTTTTTGCAACTGATTCATAGAAATTTGGAAATGTTCCAGTTGTGCTGCGTGCTCTCTTTGTTCTTTTTCTTCAAATACATCTAATCTGGTTATCATAGCTGTCTCATGTTCTTCTAAAAGTCGGATGAGTTCTCCAACAGAAGTCATTACTTTATTTCGTGCCGTAGCTGTCCTCTCTCTACTCTCTTTCAAGGATTCCTTTGTTTTTTCTGCACGCTCCTTGTAATTATCAAGTTCTCTCTTCATATCTTGCAAAATATCCTCGATATCGACTTTGTGCTGTTCTGCAGCTTGGTAGATATCCACAGTGGTGTGATGATTGTGGCGAGTTTGTCTACACTTGTCGCAAATACATACTTTGCATTTTTTACAGTATAACGTCAAAAGTTCATTCTCGTGATATTTTTCTCTGCACACCGACGAAGTGTCCACTATCCTTTTCGATTTTTGGTTGTTACCTTAAGAAAAAAAAAAGAAATTCAATATATTGACTGGAGGCAGAAACTCATAAGGGGTTAATTCAACCCCTTATGAGTTTCTGCTGGAAGTTAATCATACGACAACTGAAACGGAAAGTAAACTACAAGTCTGAGACGTTTGTTATATTTTGGAGGAGTATGCATCCTCGAAAATTTTTATACCGTCTTTTACCAAAACGCTGTCAAGACCTTAAAAAAAACGGAAAAATAAGATATCAGAGTTAGCCCGTAAGGGTATTGCTGACCGACAAGTGGAACCAGGTAAGGGAAATCAGATTCCGGAATCCGGGGGAATTTTGCTCGTGGAATCCGGAGTACAACTCAAGGAATCCAGAATCCGAGACTGTCTTGCATTTCATTATATGGGGCGAGACAAGTTTGTTTCACCGTCGATCGTGAGTTGTCTCATATCACGTTCAGGTTCCCAATGTCAACATCAAAGAGAAGCAAGTTTCTTTAAACTTAAAAATCCAACTCAAAACACAGGTTATGACGAAATTCCACCTAGAGTGCTAAAGCTGGCAAGTAAGGTCTTGGCACTGTCGCCAACGAACATTTTCAACTTGTCCATACAGACCATGCCAGCAACTGGGCCGAAAAATGAAAAAGGGACTATGGGTGGCCATTCAGAAGAAGGATAACCACAGGAAAGAAGTTAAAAACGACACACATATTAAAATTATTACCGCAGCAAACAACGTTTCTGAACAGTTGCTAAGCAACCAAGTAAAGCAGTTCACGGAGCCTTACTTGGGTGTACAAAAGTCTAACAACTTTTACCGTGATTGTCGCAGTTGTGAAACTATACCTCGATCAAACTTGGAGCCATATATAGCTATAACTATGCTGAAATCGAAAGTTAAGTGCAACCTGTGCCGTCCACTATATCATATATATAGACTCAGACTCAGAAATTCTGGCGACTACATTATTCCACGTTTCAACACTACCACCTCTGGGAAACGTAGTTTAAACTATTTAGTGTAAACAATTGGCAAGTTAAAAGGAAAATCAGAAACTTAGACCTAGACGTTTTTTCATTATTTTGAAACAAATCAATTTTATATCTTAGACATTTTTCATTTGTAAGCTTCTGATGGTTGATTTCACGGTTTTCTTGGTGTTGGAGTTTTAGCTTCTAGACCTTTTAAGAACAAAAAGCCTTATTTACGTACCTTCACTACTGGCTGGAATCATGGTTGACGCTACAAAGTCATCAAGCTTCTTTGTGAGGTTTTTTACTTCGGAACCAATTTCTTTTACATCGTTGCTAACTTCTTTTATGCTTGTGTCACATTCTTTGATGTTAGTACCAATCTCTTTTACTTCGCTGCCAACTTCTTTTATGTCTACGCCAAATTCTTTTATGTTAGTTCCAATTTCTTCTACGTTGGTGCCAAGTTCTTTCAATTCATGTTTTATGTTATCTTCATCATTTTTCCACTGATGAAGGAGGTCTTTGTAATGGTGCTCCATATCAGGATCCATGCAGCAAAATTCCAAGTTGTCAATAGCGACCTTAAAATAGAACGGAGAACATATATATCACTGCATTTATGAAAAATAATAATTAATAATACTTGTGCATAAAAAACAAAAACAACATCACAGCTGCAAAAACAAACATAAAAATTAGAAGAAAGCATTAGGAGGAAGCGTGGTACATAAGGAAAAGACCGACAGAATATTGATATTTTGAATCTATCTTACCTTGTATGTAGCTCCCCCTAGCCGTACTAGAGTGTCTCGGATTTCCTTCCAGTGTGTGTTAAACGTCGCGTCATCAATAGAAGCGTGCTCAGCATGAGCGTACACTGTATTCCTGAAGTATTTGAGTCGTGCAATGTCCGCCTCACGGCTCAGGTCTGTGGTAGCGGGGAGCACGTCCCATCCGGTTACCGGAGGAGCCAGACCGCAGATGTTGCGTAGTAAAGTCATCAGTAGAGTGATGTCAAAATGTTTTGACGAGACTAAAGTAGAAATGGCTGGGAAAAGTTTTCCCCATTGAGTCGCATTGATGATTCTTCTCGATCTCAAAGACTTTAATGAAGGATGACTGGCTGCCAAGATCGTGTGAAGAGTTGGTGGTGTGCAGATGGCATCAAAGCAATCCCTGAGGGCACAAGTTCCCAAATCGACAAGAACACAGCATAACCTGGCATAATTAGTTGTTTCTTTTGTAGTTGGAGTTGCAGGTGTAGCAGAAGCCATGGAAACAAATGACTTTAACTCCTAGTCAACACAAGATAGAATGTTACGTCATTTCTTCCCCGATATTTTTTTAATGACAGCAGTGATTACACAGTGTCAATAATCCTGCGAGTAAGGGTGGATTTCCACTGTAGCGTAATTATTACTTGCGAACGCGCAAAAAAATTACGTATGTAAATAAAGTAGAGGCAACGTATGAAAGGCCGCGCATGGCCGTTTCATCCTCGGAGACCCAGGGGAAGCTAGGCGGGACGATAGAATGCTCGTTGTGTTACAGTAAACTTTCACCACGACCATTCTATCGTCCTGACTAGCCTCCCGTGGGTTTCCGAGGATGGGCCATTTTAGAGGTCAAGAAATACTCGGCTGGCTGAGAAAGAGGGTTTGTAGTCCTAAATCCCAGTCAGCTGAAGACTCCTGAATACAGTAGCACCTCAATAACTCGAATTCCCAGCAAACTCGAACTAAATTTCCTTTCCCTTGATCAAAACTTAACTGAAATTTACCCCGATAACTCTGGGCGCTTTCCATTCGACCAAAAATTCCGGAATGAAATTTCGAGTATTCCACGTGACGAATGGAACAGTATTTTCCGGTTGGTTTGAACCAAGCCGTCCCAGTCCATCACCTACCAATTTTCGCGCGAGAATACGAAATAAACAGGGGAATCAAAAAATGGCGGACTCTTTGTCTATTTTACTTGCTTTAGAGTTGCTCGACGACTATGAAGTTGAAATAAGCGAAGTATTGGACGAGGACGACGACATAACGCTGTTCAGTGTGGGTAGCTCCTACATGCGTAGGAATTTAAACCGAGTCCGCGACTATTTGCCTTGCAATAAAATATAGGAATATTTGCCTTGCAATAGAAAGTGTGCTCGTCACTTATCACATTGATTTAAGACATTGCGCGTAGCTTATATGCATTTTCGCACTACTTACGAAAGTTTGCCGTGGCTCCGGTGCAAAAGTGGTGCAAAAGAACATTCAAGTCATCTGTCGCATAATAACAAGCGGAACACTGATATTGAGCAGAAGAATTGGAAGCCATGTTGAGTTCGATTTCCGGGCTCTGAGAAACTGGGCGCGAGCAGGAATGGTCGAATGGAACGGAATTTTCCGGTTATTCCGATTTTCCGGAATTTTAGGCCAACCTCGCGAGGTACACCCAAAATTTCGGAATGAAATTCCGGAAAATGTCTATTCCATTCGCTCCCAAACCCGGAATTTCCGGAATTTTTGGTCGAATGGAAAGCGCCCTCTAATTCCCCGCTAACTCGAACTGTTTTTCGTTTCCCTTCAAAGTTCGATTTACCGTGGTTCTACTGTATTTTTTTTCAGTCTCAGTGGGTTCCAGTCCTCTCTCCTACTTATTCACTTCCGCTGTTGTCCAATGCACATAACCCAGGGTATATGGCACGCTCCACTTTCAAATTGGGTGCGGCGCAACTTCCTTCCGTTCGATCTCATGTGTGAACAGAAGCCCTAACCGCAATGTTTTTCGTGCCGGCTAAAGAGCTATCCAGAATAGTGAGAACATCGTTTTTTCCTCATGCAAATTCTTATATTTAGAAGGTTATGCAACAATGCCGACGCTCATGCAGATTTTTCGGGCTTGGACTTCGTGTGTCTAGACTGTGAGCAGTCTCTTATTTTTCTTTGCAAAGTTACTGTTATATAAGCAGGCGAGCGGCGAAGCCGCTTGTCGCGATTCTCGTCTCGTCTCAATCCCTAAATTTGCAATCGCGCTGGATTAGATAAGAACTAGACGGATTTTAAGAGAAAGGCGGACTGCAAGCAGTCTATACTGTGTCGTGACAAAATAGGAACTGTGTATAAACTGAAATACAAGAAGCCCTGCTTTATTAGCCTTTGACCTTAGCAAAGCCAGCACGATTTTACCGAGCATTAGCTAGTTGTCATAAAAAATTCGACTACCATAAGCAAGATTAAATTTTCTTCTTAATCATGAGCAACACACAAACTCCAAGTTTTGGTTTCTCGTAGCTCTATATCAAACACGGAATGACACTGAAAGTTTATACGCTACCTTGTCTGGTTTCCCGTTTCCGGCAGCACTAAAACATGGAATCCGGAATCCAGAAACGGAAACGGAATCATGGAAACGGAAACGGAAACGGAAACGGAATACGGAATCTGTGAAAGAAGGTTCCAAGCGATCGATTTGAAAAAAATAATATTAGCAATGACAATGAAATAAATAAACAGAAAAAAAAAAGGCACAAATGAATAAATTAGCTGAGTACAGGAGAGGAGACTGCTGTGTCACTAGAGGAGTCGATTCCGGTGAAAAGACGCTTGATACCACTGTCGGCAATGAATGCAAATTCTCATGGGACAGCAAAGCGAGGAGAAAAACGTGACTGACAAAAACTAGTGCCTTAACAAAAAGGTAAGTTATATGGAGACAGACTTCGTTTGAATCGTCTGAGGCGTCGTTTACATAACTGAAAGGCGTCGCCGTCAAGTTTTTCTCAGTGTCTTTTCTGGGTTGTCTTCAACAGTGTTCAGTTTTATTTATCAAGACAACTTACTCAAGAGAACCATGGCATTGTGGAGTCCAAAGAGAAGAGAGAATTGTGCATGCATTTGCTTGATTCCGCAACCGATTACATCAAAATAATGCGCCATGTTTAATAAGCCTCTTCAACAAAAATACGGACGTCCACGTAAACTCAATTACCGGTACACCAGTATTCCATCAGTATTCAGCTTGGCGAAAAAGTTGAACTTATTGCTAAAACACCGGAACTGTGGTCACGTCACCGGTCGGTCATGTGTGGAGTATTCAGTTTGGGGACAATCACGTGGTGTGGTCTGAGGCTAACTTCGACTATTCTTGACAATTAGCTACAAAAGTAATATTTAACTGTATTATTCAACCCATGAACTCGTGAATAAAAATTACTCGTAAAATTACTTTCATCGGCCTTGCAGTGCAGTAACCCACACTACGGCAAACCTTTAATATCAAGACACAATAACAAGAATATATTTAAGGGAACTGCCAAGAAAACTAAGACAAATTCTCTTTGGATTGTACTAAATTGTGTATTGTGAAATTCTTTAATTTTCTATCATCGATATTTGATTCCGTATTCTGTTTCCGTTTCCGTTTCCGTTTCCGGATTCCGGATTCCGTGTTTTAGTGCTGCCCCTGGTTTCCCATAATATAGTACAAACAATCCATCTTAAATTATCAACAAAAGTTATTTTTATCAGAGAATTTAGGCAATATTTCCTCTGATTTCGCGTCTATAATGACAGGGTGAGAACGAATCCAGTATAAACACTTTTCTCTAAAGCTAAAATATTACCCTGATTACCAAGCGACTGAATCATCGATCGCCATCTAGATTTCTGCTTTTACAAGCTAAGTTCTCCCTTATTCCTCTTTGTTTTTTTCTCGAAGAGTTTCTATGAAGTTTATGTATAAAAAGTACTGTTAGAGTTGTTTGATCAAAGGGAGATTTAAAGACGTACCTGAGCGTTCAATATTCTGGACTGTTCAGTTGTTACACTTAAATCGCTCGCGCAGACAGGAAGTGAGCGTGATTTGTAGTATCAGTGATTCTTTTTCATCTTGCTCTTTGGTTCAGAACCAGTTAAATCTTCGTCGATCACAACACTGTAGAGAAAGTGCTGGACACCATTAAATAGTGTATTAGCAGAAGGATCAAAATGAGCCGTTTGCCAGAGAGAAAACAATAAATTTTAACTGTTGAGTCTTCAATGAAAGCTAATAAAGACCAGCCATCAGTAATTAATTTAAGGAATTGGCAATTCGAGCAAAAACCTTGCTATCTGGGGGGGTCCTGGGAGCGACGGGGGAAAAGGGGTTTTAAGTCACACACTGCAGCAAAACTACTACAAGGGGGTGGGCGAAGGAATGAGGAAATAAAGACGACGTAGGGAGGGGGACGTCTGAACCAACCTCTTTCCCAGTCCTCTCTTCTTCCGTGGAGCGAGTGATTGTAACAAGAAGATCTGAGGGCACCAACTTTCAACAACACAAGGTCCGATATTTTTGGTTTGAAACCACCAACTTTCAACCGGAGCTAAAACAGAAAATATCAAATATCAAAAAGTAAAAAAAGGCTTTTTCGCCCCGTTGATGGTTGCGTTGCAAACCGAAATATTGGGCAAATACACTTATATAGTACCATACAGACCCTTTGATTGTTCTTTATATTTATCCTCTCTCAATCTCCTGGCTGCAAGGATCAGTTTACTGTTTTTGTACATCAGTATACAAATTCAGCCAGTATACCTACACAACCTATATGGCCCATATATGGGATCCCCCTGAAAGGGTGGATATTAATGAAGTAGCAGTGTGTTTTCCAAAAATTCGTTTCGTGTCATTCTTCAACATTATCTAGAAGCATCTCCTAGCAAGCTTTACCTGTCTATGTTTACTTGATAAAACTGAAATGCCTGTATACAGCATACAACAGCACATTTTACTCTATTTCCAAATATGAATTTAACCTACATGTACATCAATTTGAATAAGACAGAGCCACAAAAGGTTTGTTCAGCAATAATCGATGTAACTACGATAGAATAGGACTAATCTGGAAAAAAAGTAACAGACAGTAACAGAGATTTCAGTTTGTCTTTTGCTTATTTACTAACTATGTCAGGGGATCACAGAAGACGTCAAAATGTGTACATCAGTGACACACTTTCCTGCGGCTCGTGTGCCACTTTTTTGTTCCTACCACATTGTGACGCCATCTATAATGTATTGCTGAACAGGCGAACGGCAATATGGAATCTATTTGTTAAGTATACAGTGTTTTCACTGACGTGGCCAGCATCTGATTATGTTTTGGTAATAGTGAAATACATGTATACTTCACAGAAAGCAAAACATGACGTCAAATTTGTCCTAAAACTGTCAAAAGGTGACAAAAACTGAAAAACGTGTATTTGTTATCTGTCAGTGGAACCTATTTATATTATCTAATAATGGAAAGAAAATCTAGAATCACGCCTCCTACCACTAGATTCACACATTAGGTCCAATTTAAGAATTTTTTTTCTTTGTCTCTTTTTTTTTCTCTCGCTTTTTTAACGTTGCTTCTTTTTTCAGGCTTCTTGGCTTGCACCAAGTTATTTTTAATTAATTTTTCCTCCACTTTCTTTCCAAGGGTTCGTCCATTAATCACCGTATAAACTGAATGATTTCTCAAACGCTCATTATTTCTGTTATAGATTCACCGAATAGAAGATGAATAAAGGGGTTAGTTTCTAAACGATTGTATACTGCGTGACACAAAACTTTTGGCTTGTTAGAAAGGGATAATAGATCATGAAACAAATCCAGTCGAACATGGTCAGAGGCTATGTATTCTAAGTAGTCCATAAAACTTTGTTTTCCCTGTCGCCTGCGATTTTCCACATTGTTCATGACACAGTTACAGACCATTCACATGACGTAATATTTGTGAAACCACTAGCTGCAGTTCTACTAGAGTTTTGAAAAGCTCGACGTAATTACTATTATGGTCTATGGAGGACAGACAACGGGAACTTAATGTGTATTTGTTGAACTGGCTAAAAGTCTAGTAAAATTCATTAGGACACACTCCGGAATTCTGCTGGATACTTTTGATTAGATACTAATTTTTACACCAAGAAAGACGTTTTTGTTAAAACTTGGTTCCTCACTGGAAAAGGTGAACACACATTTTGTTAACGTCACTCACCCACAGCCGACCACTACGTGACACAACAATAGAATGAGGTGCACTAAGCCCAGTGTCTTCTCCTTCTATTGCGTTTACATATTTTCCTTCAAGGGTGAAAACCTGTAGCTTTGCTTTCTGACAATCACACACCACCAGATTATTAAACCTGTCAATTGCAAGACCAACAGGAGACTTGAGTGGTCCTTCACCAGTCTCGGAGTTACCAATATTGTACAAGAAAACGCCATCTTTGCTGAAAACCTTAACGCCTGTCTGAGAGGAAACAAAAAACATGTCCTGATAACACAGTGCACAACGTGAGATGGCACCATCAGGATCATTGATGGTTAGTAGCAATTTTGCGCCATCAGAGGACAGGACCTTGACTGTATCGCTGTCACACACCAGCATGCGTCCATCATGGGCAATATTTAGATACTGTGGTTTCTGCAGGTGTTTGTTGGCGACATGTTTTACAAATTCCTTTTTCCAGTTCAAACGAAACATCTTTCCAGAAGCAATCACCACGATCTCACTATAATTGGTGAATGCTACTGATGTAGGTTTATTTAGTTGTTTAAGGGTATCAAGCTTTTCTACACACAGCTTCCCACACTGCAGAGAAAAACGATAGAGCATTACCCTATTTTCATAATAGGCCACTGCAACATTGCCAGACCAGTCATCTATTGCAATAGAACAGGGACAACCAATTTGACCTCGTCTTTTCAGCATATTCTTAATTAATGAAGGTTCGGATGAAAAACAATATCTATAACGATGTGGAGTCACAAAAACACGCCATGGACTACCAGTCAGCGGCTCTCCGTTAACCGCAATTGTCACTTCATGTTCACCAACACAATCTGGTGTGTAATTAACGAGAAATTCACCAACTTTGCCGGATGAAATCTTGTGGCTCAGCTCTTTCCTTAAGAAAGACTGAACTTTGACGAGAATTTGATCGCCTTCATTGGAACAATGGTTACCATCAAAATCTAAAGTTGTTATTTTAATTTTCGCTTCCCTTCCGACCTCACCTTCCTGTAACCCTGTTCCTTCAGCCACCGACTGCAAAGGATCTATGCTACTTATAATAATGCCACCCACTGCCTCGACTGCACTTCTGAAATTTTCCTTATGCCCTTTATTAATTTGTATCTGACATGCGCTGGTTTGTAAATGCTCAGCTTTTCTGCATTTAGAAGACCTCTGCAGCGTCCGATAAGTGCATGATGTGCTTGAAGAATTTCAACGCTTTTGTTCCTCTTTAAGATGTCTTCGCACCCCTCGACCTGTATTTGTAACTGATTCATAGAAATTTCAAAATGTTCCTGTTGCGCTGCCTGCTCTCTTTGGTATTTTCCTTCAATGATTTCTAACTTAGTTATTGCTGTTTTTTCGTATTCTCGTAAAAATCGGATGAGTTCTTCAACAGATGTCATTAGTTTATTGCGTGCGGTAGCAATACTCTCTCCACTTCTGTTGAAAGATTCCTTTGTTCTTTCCGCTTGTTCTTTATGATCAGCAATTTTTCTCTTCATTTCCTGTACAATGTCTTCAATAGCGACTCTGTGTTGCTCTGCAGCTTGATCGATATCCACCGTTGTGTGATGACTGTGACGTGTCTGTTCACACTTGCGACAAATACACACTTTGCACTGTTTACAAAAAGAAGCCAGAAGCTCCTTCTCGTGAAATTTCTCTCTGCACACCAAAGAGGTATCCACGATCTCATTAATTTCTGGCCCGTTACCTTATGAAAAACGAAAAAAAGTTAAGTTAGTTGATAACACGAAGGAACATACCAAACGAAGTACCTGTTTGAGACAGCGTAAAGGGAACTACGAGTCTAATAACAAATACTCCGCACCGAGACTTGGGCCCTGTTCGCACTACGCAAAATTTTGTTTGCTTGCAAAAACATCTGTCAACAAAAAGCCATTTCTACTGCGAACGATTTTATTCACTTACCTAAATTTTCACAAGTGTTAACCAAGCTTCAAAGATGCCGTCGAGAAAGTTTGGAGGCCTACAATTTTAGGCGAAATACTCCTTTGTTCCTTGACAGCTATCCTTAAGGTGATGTTACACGAGACGATTCGCAGCTACGATTTTTAGCGCAACACGGCGTTACAACATAGTTGCGACATTGTTTCGAATAGTTACAACATTGTTCCAACATTGAAACGATGTGTTATGCTTAAAATCGTCTTTGAGAATCGTCCCGTGTAACATCACCTTTAGTCGGGTCATCTTAATTCAAGAATATGACCAATTACAGTTCCTTTAATTGACGTTTCTGCTTAGAAGAAAACATTTCACTTGTCTCGGATGCGACAAAGGTTGCAAAAGCAAAAAATGGTGATTACAAAATTTTCAAACTTTCTCCAACCGCCAAACTCTATTTTTGGTCGGAGTGCGAACAGGGCCTTATCTCCGTAAGAATTAACACCACGTCTTGCGTATATTCACAATTAAACTCGTACCCATAAACGCGCTCACACAAGTACCGCACTTTGAAGGGTAAACGGAGCTCAGAGATCTAACACAAACTTTCAGGCCCCCAAGCCAAATTCCACCAACTAGAAATACGTTTATCGCAATCCCTCGCTAGGCTGTAAACTGGCAGCCGTATGAATAAACTGAAACCAGCAGAGTTTTGCGTCGTTTTGATGTACATACAAACTGGGACAACGCAAGCATTTCGCGGGCACAAGTTCACGATGCCTGTAAATGTCCTTACGTCTCACTGGTTTAAACGTAGGCTTCTGTGCTTGTGTTTATTTTTCGCACTTTTGTAGCACGCCCTTACAAGCATTCTCAGCAATCTTAAAGGTGATAATTAACGCAACAAAGCAGTGCAATGTTGTAACAAGTCTAACAATGTTGCAACAATTCGAAACAATTTCGCAACAAAGTTGCAACGCTATGTTGCATTAAAAATCGTCGTTGCAAATCGCCCCGTGTAACATCAACTTTTAAGGTGAGGTGATTCGCAACGACGATTTTAAGCGCAACACAGTGTTGTAATGTTGGAACAATGTTGTAACAATTCGAAACAACGTCGCAACAATGTCACAACGCTGTGTTGCCCTAAAAATCGTCGTTGTGAATCGTCTCGTGTAACATAACCTTAAGAGCTTGGTGTGTGGTAACCTTACAGATGAAATATTGTTTACTCCTCTGTCCTTCTAATTTTCCTCTGGATCTCAAGGCGATTTAATTGAAACAACTAACTTTATTGCCATTGGCTGTAAGCATCTCACGGTAGTGTTTTCAAAGTCAACCCGGTTTTCGCAGATCTGTGCTAGCTGAGAGCTGCTTATCAGTAACTTAAATTCAAGACAATTTTAAAACGCAAGACCTTTACTTTTTTTGCCTCAGTTGACGTTTTCCTCAGTGTTTGCAGAAATAGTCCGCGCTCTGAGAGCGTCTATTTGTCTATACTTGCCTTTATCGTTGATTTCCCTGACAGGAGTCACAGTTGATGTCACAAAGTCATCAAGCTTCTTTGCGAGGTTTTTAACATCTGTGCCAAATTCTTTTATGTCCGTTCCCACTTCTTTTATAACTGTTCCAAATTCTTTGACGTCGGTAGCAACTTCTTTTACGTCGGTGCCAATTACTTTTAATTCATTTCTGATGTTATCTTCATCATTTTTCCACTGATCAAGGAGTTCTTTGTAGTGATGCTCCGTGCTGGGATCCATACTACAAAATCCCAGGTTGTCAATAGCGACCTTGAAATAGAAAGGAATAAACATTTTAGAAATCACTGTGTACTAGTGTATCAGCGTATTTAACAGTTAATCTCTGAGTCAATAGCCCATGGAAGGCCTCATGGGCTATTGACTCAGAGGCCATGAGGGCGAGAGGAATAATTGTTTTAATAAAACCCAACTAGTTGGTCAAAACGCTATTCAGCCGCCGTTGTTTTGGTTTTCAAAGCCGGCGCTTTTCGCTACTAGTGGGCTATAACATATAGCCTAGTAGTAGCTCAACCAATCAGAACACAGCACTGATAATAGACCACTAGTTGGATTTTACTAATAGGTATAATCCCTCCTACGTATTAAAATCAGCATACACATTCTCCACGCTGTTGTCCCTACATTTTCTATGGTTCTGATAAGAACAATTTGTATGAAGCTCTGTTTTGACTACCTGCCAATCTTTCTGTTCTATTAAACCATAGTGAAAATGGCAGTAACAATGCTAGGTGACTTAAGCGAATGATTACCTCGTAAGTAACTCCTCCCAGCCTTACTAGAGTGTCTCGGATTTCCCTCCAGTGTGTGTCGAATGTTGCATCATCAACAGAAGCGTACTCAGCATGAGCGTACACTGTATTCCTGAAGTACTTGACTCGTGCAATGTCTGCTTCACGGCTGAAGTCTGTGGCGGCAGGAAGGGCGTCCCAGCCAGTAACTGGGGGAGCCAGGCCACAGATGTTTCTTAAAAGAATCATCAGCAAGGTGATATCGAAATCTGTTGAAGCCACTGAAGAAGGGACTACAGGAAAGAGTTTTCCCCATTGTATAGCATTGATGATCCTACTTGATCTCAGAGACTGCAAAGTGGGTTGATTAGCTGCTAAGAACGTGTGAAGAGATCGCGGGGTGTAAATGGCATCAAAGCAATCCCTGAGGGCAAAAGTGCCCACATCGACGAGAAGACGGCATAACCTGGCATAATTAGTTGTTTCTTTTGTAGAGGAAGTTGCAGGTGACGCAGAAGCCATGGACACAAAGGACTTTTATTAGTTTCTAGTCAGTGGAAACAAATGAGTTTCATTAGTTTCTAGTCAACTCAGGAATAGAATGTTATTACAATAACCCCGGTAACTCGAACTCGACAGGGAAGGGGGAAACAGTTTAAGTAAGCGAGGGTTCGAGTTATTGGGGTAGATTGCAAAATTCAATTTTCAGTTTTAAAAATTGATAGTTACATGATTTTTCAGGACTTCAGTGTACAGCGCTACTGCACTGCAAGTTTAACTTACTTCTCACCAGAAACAGTAACATGATTAGGCATTTTTTATGATAAAACGTCAGAGGGGTAATCTGTTCGTTGCACCAATTAAAATCAAATTGCTGAAATTGTTAACCAATGTTAGATTTAGCCTGAGAAAACAACCGACATTTGGCGACGCTACCACCGGTTTCCCCAGCCAAATGACGTCTGAGAAACGAGCGCAGAAATTCTATACTGATCAGGAGCGGATCCAGGAGAGGGGCCCAGGAGGGTATGGAGTTTCTGCGCTCGTTTCTCAGACGTCATTTCGCGGGGAAACCAGTGGTGGCGTCGAAAAGTGTCGGCTGCTTTCTCAGGCTATGTTAGATTTAGTTCTCTCACTAATAATACAACAAGAAGAGCCAATGGAATGGCATCCGAGTGGAGTTACAAGAACCAGAATTCGAGTTAACGGGTAATTTTGATCAGAGGAAAGGAAATTTAGTTCGAGTTAGGGAATTCGAGTTATCCGACTAAAAGGAAGGGTGAAACCCAAGGGAAATTGGACTTAGTTCGATCGAGTAAGCGGGGAGTTCGAGTTGATCGGGATCCTTCTGTATAATATCTTCTTTGAGATTTTTACTTGTTTTTTCCCCAATACGTCCCTCCATAGCATGACCAAGGGAATCATCATAGCATAATGTTACAGGATCCTGCGTACTGCGCGTGCGCGTTCAGTAGACAAAAGGGACACTAGGCGACAAGTTGCGGCAACACGTTGTGACGACACGTCGCAGCGACAAATCCCTTCGTGTGTACTGGAGAATTTTTGTGAAAATCTTTGTCTCTGCAACAGAATTTTGTCGCCGCAAGAAGTCCCACAAAATCAAATCAAACTGAATTTGTCGAAAGGGAAGGGGAACGGAATTTCGGCGCGCGATCTCGCTGGCCTTGAATCCCCTTCCCTTTTCCTTTCAAACGTCTGCCAAGCGGGCTAATTGAGTGGTAAATCACGAGACGGGCAAAAGGGGGGGAAAAAAAGGGGTTCTTTTTCTACTCCGACCTCTCGTAATGTGGCATCAACAGAGTATTTACATCGTTTCCATGACAACTCATCTACAGTAATTGCACATTTTTGACCGGATTGGAGTCAAGCCGGGGTCAAAAAAGGGTCGGCGCGACTACAGTATTTATGGAAGGGTACAAGTGCGGATGTAGATCAGGCGATATAGTTAAAACCCGGGCTAAAACCTCCTGCTACCGGAGTACAAATAAATGTCAAATATACGCTCTCCTTAAGATACAACAACCTCGTTTCCATGTTCTCTCTCCTAGAAAAATAAAAAAAAAATGAACAAGTAAACAAAAAATATATATTTAAATAAATATATATTTTTTGTTTTATTCTTTTGTTTACTTCTTCATCGCCTTGCCGTTAGGATCAGTTTGTCGTTTCATATTTTTCTTCAAGTTTAATTGTACTGATTCAGGTCCACAGCTGGGAGATCCGGCACCACTCATTAGTTTGTTGCTGTGGACTTGCTGTATTTAATATATTTTTCTCTCTCCTACCCAGGAGAGAACCCTGGGAACGAGGTTGAACATACAAAAAAAGAAGATGGTGGAAAAGAACTACAATTAAAAATTTGGAATAAGTGACTGACAATTAATGTCCTGCCACTGCTGACAAAAATGCGAAGTCTCGCGGCATTAAATAGGCATAATGAACTCAGTTCCTTGCATCCTCAATAAAGGTCACTACAATACACCTAAGAAATACACTTAAAAGCGGCTTACCGGATACTTTATTTACATAGGTTGTGGGTACTTTTTCTCAACTAGCATTTTTTTCAATACAGAAATGGATAAAATTAATGTTTACACAGCAGACTGAAATGTCATACCGAAAGCTTACCCTTTTAAGCTCTTTATTGCTTATGCAACTTAACGGGGTGGGGGTTGGCTTATAAGTGGACTAAATAGCATAGCAGTGCTGATCAGATTATTCTTTTGAATTTACTCGTTTCTTAGGATTTAAAACGTTTTTAAAAAACGAATTCACTTCAATTCAAGCCAGAGGGGCCTTATATCCTGGGGGCGTGATAACTGGTCCATTTTTTTGCTTACAGGTAGACGGGCCTATGACTTGGGGGGGGGGGGGGGGGGCGTTTTAAGGGGGGGGCTTTTTAAGGGGAAGTTTAAAGATTGACCTTTTCTGGTACCAAATTTTTTCCCTTTTTTTTTTTCCAAACAAAAAAAGGTTTTTTTGTTTGGGTTTAATTTTGCAAACCCCTCCATATTTACTTTGTTCATTGGAATTTTGCTTTAACGAGAGTCGCCCTTTGGGCCCCGCCACGAACCACTGCCCAGATTTTAAATTTTTTATTTTTGCTGTTGTTGTTATATAATAGAAATGTGACAAAATGACGTTCTGTTACTACATGGAACGGCGATGTCGTTGATGGTGGTGTGGGGTGTTGTTTGTTTTTTTTGTGGGGGGGGGTGGAGGGGGGGGGTGTTGGGGGGGGGGGGGGGGGGGGTCGTTATAAGTGGAGGGCTTGTAAGAGGAAGTTTATAGTATGACCGTTTCTGGTCACTAACTTATTCCTCTTTTTATCTTCCAATCATACAAAGGGTTTTTGTGATGGGTTTCGATATGCACACTCGCTCAATATTCACTCGTTCAATTGGAATTTGCGTTAACAGAGATCGGCTCTTTGGCTCCGACACGAACTCACTGCACGATATGAAAACGACATAGTTCGTTGCTGAGTTGTACATTCACTCACACATCCGCGTGACAGAACCCTGGGAACGAGGTTGCTACGCTCACATTCGCTGCCAAAGCATCAACACTCGCGCTCGAATTCCGACTGTTTTCTAGGACGTGTATATACCTTACAAGTATCTCGATGGTTGCGTCATCACTATTCACGAGGTTGTCAAGTGCGATTCTACTTGATGAAACAGTCTTTAACTCTGACGACTTGATTCTTAAAGTGATTTAAGTTATTGATTCTTAAAAGAAAAGAGCCTTTACTTAAGGCACTAGTTACAAAATTAAAGAGGTCTTCATACATTCATGTTACTATTTTAATATTACTGCGAAAAGCCAGTCTGCATGAGATGTACAGTCACACAGTTTGTACCTGAAAGTGTTGGACCTTGCCCCTTTCGTGGTTCTTACGTGGGGGAATTCGAATAGACCTCTTTAGCTTGTACGTTTTTTCCTAATACAGGTCATGTGATAATACTCTAGGGAACCGTTTCTTACAAATTTCGTCTCATTCACGTGCACATCTACGCATAATTTATGAAAAGACAATGGTTCAAGTTCCCTTGGGACTTGGGACTTCTTTTGAGAAAACAAAAAATACAAACTAAAGAGGTTTATTATCACAGTAATCCAGTAAGCAGGATTATAAAAATAACTCATGCACACAATTTGCACGTGAAGATGTGGGACTTTGTTTCTTTTAAAATTCGTACGTAAAAGAACGCAAATTGTTTACTCGAAAATTTGCTGAAACGATTTTAAGAAATCGCTTCTGCTTCACAACATCTGGGATTAAATTATGCTTCATGCAACGTTAAGGTTGATGGCCAAACATTTATTTCCTTCCAAACCAATTTAATCCTGTAAACAAGCTTTATTCTCTCGCTTACAAAGCTCAACAGACCTTTTTCGTACCGGCAAAAAAAAACATGAATTAGGTGGGGAACATGATACATGCTTGCTGCTTTAGTGTTATTATAGTTATGGAAATGTATTTTATTTTATTAGTACAGATGCGTAACTTAAGGTGGCTCGATACAGTTTTTCGATCAAAGTTTGTTATGATCAGGGTTCCAATGACATCGGAGTCGTCATAGTAACGAAATGACGCTATCACCTATTTTACTTGCAGCAGTATTTCTCTTCACTGCGAATTATTTTATTTTTTTACATTTTTCTCTTTCTCAATCAAACGTGAAGCATGCATTCATAAGCAAATATTTCTGGCGTCATTTCACACTTAAGGATCTTTGTCGCCGTTGTGAAGATGTTCCATGAACACACATTATTTACTTTACCCAAGCTTTAGAAAATACGGGGAAAAGGAGGATTCAATTTTTAATACACAAAAGTTGGCGGACCGAAAAAGTAATTGGCAAAAAGTCTCAGTCTGTATTGTTAGCTCTTCTTTCCTTTTTATTTGGGCGTGGCCCTAATAGAGCAATCGAAACGGTTTGTTTTGACGCAAATGTGCAATATGCGAACGTCTTGTACAAGGTAAGAGGCATGTGGGAAAGAAAGCTCTGCTAGCACGGCACTTTATCAAACTTTTACGATCTCAAAAGTTAATCTGAATCTTCAGTATTTTTACCTCATCGAAATTGGGAAGTCTGAAGTCCAGGGATGAAATCTATCAAAAATATTTGGAATATTAACGTCGGGTTTCGGGTCACAATAAGATCACAAGCAACGAACCTTGAAACACAGAAACTCACAAAACGGATCGAAATCCACCAATCATAAATCACACTCAATGACCTTTTGAACCTGTTGAAGTAAACTTTCGTTTCCTAAGAGGTCCGCTAAGATGACTGGCGTCTGACATTTTTTTGACGAGAGGATCGAAATGCACCAATCATAGAAAGACAGTTTTAATTGCATGTTACAAATGCACATACTGTTCGTGGTAGGCCCACACTAACAAATGACACCGAGCGTTTTCGGAATGGGCTGGTCCGCGAACTCAAAGAAAAACAAACGAGAGGCCGTGGTTACGCTTTCGCTGGCTAATATTCTGTAGCGGCGGCAATATTCGAACAGACTGCGAAGGCATTTCAAATCTCTTATACTTTCTTTAACCAAGACTAGAATTTTAAAAAAGGGAGACAATTTTAGCTTCCCACTCGGACGTTCTTTGCCTCGTCACGCAGGGGAAAGGAACGCGTGACGAAGCCCTAAGCCTGGCAGGGATGTAATTTTGGCGCAGTATGCCAGTTTGTCAAGAAAGACGTCAAACCAATGTACCCCCATTATGGGGTTCTTGTACAATCCTGGATTACTGTGTGATAACTGAATTCCGTCACGTACGAACCAAGAAAGGGGCCAAGACTAACACTTTCACGTGCAAACTGCGTGACTGTATATCTTATGCAGACTGGCTTTTTACAGTAATTATTGTAAGTTGAATGTGTGAAGGCATCTTTAGTTTTGTAACTAGTGCCTTAAGCGAAGGCTCTTTTCTTTTAAAAATCAATAACTTATATCACTTTCAAAATCAAGTCGTCAGAGTTAAAGACTGTTTCATTGAGTAGAATCGCACGTGACAACCTCGTGAATAATGATGATGCAACCATCTACAAAAATGACGAAAATCGGGGCATTTCTTAGCTATTTGGTATTCGACGAGCTTCATTATCTTAAGTTTCCATGAAGAAACCTTGAAACCTTCGAGTCTTTCCTTTAAGCAACGTTTGGTGAGTTGATATTCATAGGACTTCAACAATTTGCTTATTTTGCAGGGAAAGACAAAGAAAAGTGAATCTATAATATGAAGATCGACCTAGCTGTGCGCAGCGGTTCGCAAAAAGTCTTTAAAAAAGTCTCTTTAGGATTAAAATAGTAGATTGTTGATACGATTACACTGAAGCATTCAAAATAGCTCATGTACGTTAAACGTGCCTATGTTTCTTACTGTTAGTACACCCACACACACGTTGTGAATGGTTTGGCTTATTACCAAGAGTTTAACAATATTTTTGCTCTCAGTTGTCGAGCGCCAAAGAAGATGTCACACAAAATTCAACTTCAAAGTTCGCAATATGTACACCTTTAAGCTCATATATATCCTCATTTCCATATAGACTGAATATTGTACTAATTTATGCATGGATTTGATTTCCAGCAATACACATGTCCCTTCACTATGACTGTTACCATACATATCTCTAGCATGAGAATCAAATACTTTATACCCCCCACCCTCAATGCTGTAGATAGCAGCACAAATAATTCCCACCGTTAAAATGAATGAGTGGTAGTTCACAGTTAAGAGTGTTTCAAATGCTGACCCAGTGGCATATGGTGTATTTTTCCGAATACCCTTCCATGCAAAAACTCTCACGTGTTTTCTGTAACATAGATTTCATTTTCTTCATCGGCAGTCTGCTATTCGCACGACCGCATCGAGAGAATTGACTAACCCTATTGAAACCAACGGAATTGTAAGTTCCTTAATAAATAAATTTCCCATGCACGACGAGATCTAAATTCAACTTCTTTTACTTCCTCTACAACACAATTCTGCTTCTATACAATAGAGTCATTGCGTCTTCCTGTCACCTCACTGCCATCAAAACACTCTTAATTGTGAAACAAAACTTGCTGATAACCCAAAATCCTGACGCCGAGCATCGCGCATGAACTGCGTTACATAAAACACAACGCGTAATACAAAAACAAGTACATAAACAGTCACTCGGCCAAACAAAATTGAAAGGTCAAGAAGAATTGTTAAAGCTATCACAGTAGTTACAAAAGAAGCGTGACTCCCTTTTGGTTTCAATTGTTGACAATCGTCTCTTCCTTCATCGGAACACATATATATTAACACATGCAGCCTCTTGTCTTCCGCACTGTGAATATCCAAATCACTTTTGTCACACTGACTACCAGCTATACAAATCTTTCGACTCTCAAACTTGATACACATTCCTCTCTTCAAACTCTTATCCATTTCACACGTATACTCCTGATATTCCGATTGTCATTTCGTCTATGAGTATTTGATGCCACTTGACAATTTCGTTTGTTTTTCTTTGAGTTCGCGGACCAGCCCATTCCAAAAACGCTCGGTGTCATCTTTTAGTGTGGGCCTACCACGAACAGTGTGTGCATTTGTAAGTTTAAGGCACTACGATAACACACTTTAACAATATATTGACAAGTTCCTCGCAACGTCGCCAAATTTTATCGAAACTGCTTCTTCCTGCCGCTTTGAAGAATTTCGGATCAAACGACATCAAAAACAGCAAATTCAGATGACCTCTTAGGAAACATGCCATTAAAATTGTCTTTCTTTGATTGGTGCATTTCGATCCCCTCGTCAAAAAAAATGTCAGACGCCAATCATCTTAGCGGACCTCTTAGGAAACAGAAGTTTACTTCAACGGATTCAAAAGGTCATGGTTTCTGATTTGTGATCGGTGGATTTCGATCCGTTTTGTGAGTTTCTGTGTTTCAAGGTTTCTTTTCTTGTGATCGTAATGACGATTAACAGCAGCGAAAAAACGTAACTGTGAAGGCGGCTGTTGAGCTTCAGCGTTTGCGTGTTTTTGAAAAGCCCAATGACCTGCACCAAAAGACTACGTACTGCAATAGTTTACCCAGCAAAACAATCAACGTGACCACACATTGTTTGATTCATAAATCTTATCTTATAAATCCCCACGTAATTGATATTTTTTTCAGAACAGCCGTACTACGGAAATTATTCGACATTAGATTTTCATACAAACATCGTAATTTTTCACGCGTTTGCCTACTCGTCAAGATGACGTCGAAAACCGTGACAAGGTCTATAGATTAAAGCCGGGGCAACCAAGCGCGGTGAATTCTCGCGTGCTGCGTGGGAATTTGTAGCCTTCCACGCAGACGTTCTTAGGGGTTCGTCTTGCGTTCGTGCCCCACTAATCGCGTCGATTGCGTTCGATTGAGGTTCGGTAATCTAACTCACCGAAAAGTTTCAGTTCGATTATGTTCGATTACCGAACCAATCGAACAACAATCCGACCGATTAGGTTCGATTGTGCTCGATTGAGTTTTGGTTCGGTTTCGTTCGATTGACTATGCCGGGGATGAATAAAATAAATCCAAACCATCTATTAAACAAACGTTTTCTGTATCCTCAGAACTTAGCCATGTACAATATTTCCTTCTATTTTGCTGTAATTTACGAAAGAACAATAACAAATCCGCCATTCTATAATAATTTGTTTCTCGTGAACTAGTAGACGCGACGGATCACACCGCATGATCTACGAACATGCTTCTACTTGACTCGCCTTATGTCTTTCACCACCGGTTTTATTTCTGGAAAAAGCCCTCATCGAATCAGAAATAAATCTTCGCCGAAGAGAATTTAAAGGAACGAAAGGAACGTACCTCTGCGTTTGATATTCCGGTCTTCTTGTTAGACTTGTCCTGTTAAATTCTACACTCAAACAGGAAGTGTTTTGCAGTGTTACTGATTGTCTTGATTCTTCTTGTTCTTGAATACCGACCAGTTAAATCTCCATTGATTGCAAGACAGACTCCGTGTTGTATACCATTAGTTAGTCTCTTGGTAGAAGGGTTAATATAAGCTGTTTGCCTCTCAAAACAATGAATTTTTAGCCGATGAAACGAGCACTACCTTCCAAATGCAAAGTATTATTTGAAAGCAATGTGCAATGTGAACTCCAAGCTGTAAGTCACGTGATTTCCTAATGGCAAATCAACAAAACTAAGCGGGTGGGTGAGGGGAAGAGACTGCTTGAACCAACCTCTTTCCCGTGGGTTGCTCACCATTTACAAAAGCAAACATGTCGGTTTACGGTTTGGGCAAATGGTAAGCAAAATTCAGTACTTTTAGATTTCTTCCCGGAATTTGTACAAATCAGTTCCATTTACCGAAAAGCGGCCGCAAAGGCCGGAAACTGGTATCGAAGATGGCTTTGAAGAAAGTTAGCACTCTTCTCCATAATGCAAACTAAAAAAATTCAACAAAGGAAATGCATCCCAAGGCCATGACTTTAAGACCAATCATAAGAAAGGCCGTCGCCTCTAAATTCAACAAGTTCTTTGCAACCATTGGATGTCGCATCGCCAAGAAGTTGCGCTCTGTATCGAGGGATGCCTGGAAGAAGTACGAAACTGTTAGCCAAGCCGATGGTGAAAATCTATGCGAACTTTGATGGGTCAGTTCTAAGGTTGTTTCGAAGATCTTGCATTCGTTAGAAGTCAACAAGGCAGCTGGACTGGACACCGGCAAAATTATTGAGAGATGCTGAACAGGGGCACCCAATAATGTTTTCTGTAAAATGTCTGTTCGGAAAAGCAAAAATTTGCTAGAATTTTCTATATCTTGAAGAAGGCTTGGAATTTCTAGATGACCGTTCTGATTCATGTAGAATTTTCAAAGCTTATCTAAATTTTTCGCATTTCACTCCACAGATTAAGGTTTCGTAGAAAAAGGAAACCTAACATTTTCGGATTCGAGAATTTGACGGAGAGAGGAATCAGAAAAATTCTGGTTTTCTTAAAACTTTAAATTGCATCTAAAATTCTCGGAAAAATAATACTGAAACCCTTGTAATTTCGAAAAGACTCAAGTTGCCCTAAGATGACCGAACAGAAACCAATTTTTATAGCGCCGCTTAGAATGCATTTCTAGAGATCCAAAAGTACGCTGGATAGCCTAAAAAGTGTTTTTTTATGCATTTAGGAGGAAACCGTCGTTGGGTACCCCTGGCTGAAGTGGAGCTTGCTCCCTTAATAACATATCTCATTAATAAATCGATCAAAGGTGGTACTGTTCGTGCCTTGTGGAAGGTCGCCGGTCTAACTTCTTTGAAAAAGCTGAAGATAATCTTTTGTTGGAAAACTATTGGCCTAATTCTGTGTTGCCAGCACTAAGCAAAGTATTGGAAAGAGTGGTACGGTACACACACAAATGATCGCTTACTTAGATCACTTAGGCTTGTGATACAAAACATTAGTACGGTTTTAGACGTGGTCGCAGTACGGCGCAATCGGCGGACCATTTAAATAGTTTTTGTGCTTGATGCCATGGTAAAAAAAAGTAGCCGGTGTGCTATTTCTCGATATATAAATGTCCAAGGCGTTCGACTTGATAAACCAAGATACTTCTGGGGAAGCTTGAACACATAGGACTTTCTGCAAGAAGTTTGAGATGGTATAAATCGTATCTCTCAGACAGATGTTGTCTTGTGCAAGATGCATTGAAGGGAAACTTCTCGAACATTTCAGTGTGTTCAATTCTAAAATGAGCCAACAGCACAGGTATAATACTCGAAATGGTTACATGCCCAAAGTCAGCAGGCCAAGAACGGAATGGGACAGAAATAAAACATATAAAACAACTAACGATTGAGTTACTGCCGAGTGAGCTCAAGAGATTAATGCCAAAAACGATTTTTAATTACCAATTGAAACAGTTTTTCTGATTGAATCATTTTGAACTGTATCTTAGTTTAAACGATTTTTAAACACGAACTGAAAAAGTTTTACAAAAAAATATTGACTTTAGTTAGTATTTTTAACTTAAACCTTCGTTGTAGCATTAGTTTTTAGCTGTATTTTAGTTTTAGTTTATGTAGTTTGACCTTTATTTTAGAGGATCCTCCTGAAAACCACCGTTAGGTGATTGGAGGGCTTCTCGTTAAATATTATTTATTATTAAGTTAGAGATGCAAATCTCTGGAGTTGAAAACTCTAGAGACTTCCTCTTTGTCAATACTCCCTCCAATATCAACCCACCCCATCCTCAAACGAACTGGTAGGTGAAAATACCCTTCTCTAGAAGTATTTGTGTCAATGTGTCATCAGTTTTTGAACAACAATCTTCATCTTTGGGTGGGTTTTTGCCGCATGTGGCGCAGGAGGCTATGTTAAAAGTTGACCAGTTTCGGAAATCCTATCTATTAACCTTTTTACTTCCAGAGTACATGATGGACTCTGGAAAGGTGAGCCTAACTTTCGAGTCTGCGAACAAACATATCGTGCTATGGTGAAACCATTCAAATGAAACCTCTTTAGCCCTTCTTTCACATGGCACTATTTGATCCTCGGAATTTTACAGGAAATTTTGTTGAATGGCAGTGAAAGGTTGATAAATAAGTGTACTGAAATACATAGTACTTTGAAAGAGTATGGTTTTGGATGTTTCGTTTTTATAAGAATGTACTTGGCTTTCACACCGACTCGCTAAGGTAAGAAAAACACTGAAGTCATCAAAACAGATCAAGAAAGAAGGATTAAAGAGATTTAATTCAATTTTAGTGCGGTCGAAAACTCCCATTATTCAATAGTTAATGTCAGTAATGATCCGTTATTTAGTCGGTACTAGAAAACCTGTTTGTCACTGGAAAACATACACACAGAATTTGTCCAGTGAACTAGTAACAAAAAGCTGGCCATTGCTTGACACAGCAACAGAATATGGTGCGCTAAGCCCAATATGTTGTCCTTCTATTGAGTTCACAAATTTCCCGTCAAGAGTAAATAACTGAAGTCTTGCTTTATCACGATCACACACCACCAGGTTATTAAACCTGTCAATTGCAATACCCGCAGGAAAACTCAGATGTCGAACACCAGACTCTGAGGTGCCGATACTGTACAACAACACCCCATCTTTGCTGAATACCTTTACATTACCTGCTTTTGGATAGGAAATATAAAACATATTTTGATGACACACTGCATTGCATGGGATTGCACGGTTAGGATCACGGATGGCAATCAAGAGCTGTGAGCCATCAGAGGACAGGACCTTGACTGTGTGATCACCCCAGTCACACACCAACATCCGTCCATCAGATGCAATGTTCAGATACTTTGGTTTCTGCAGTTTTTTGTTGATGACGTATTTTATAAATTTGTAACTTCTATTGTAGCAAAAAATCGTGTGAGAAGCAATAACTAACAGTTCACTTGACTTGGTGAATGCTACTGACGTCGGATCATTTAGTTGATAAGCGACAAGAATTTGTGGATACGTGCCTTGTGCACTAAATAGTTGTACACTATTTTGATCGGCCACTGCAACATTGCCAGTATTACCATCTGTCGCAATGCTACTGGGCCAACAAAAAGTTCCCTTTCTGTTCCCAGATGAGCCAAACGGAAATGAATATGTATACTGATGTGTAAAATGAACTTGTGACACACAAGTCACATGAACGCTCCATGGACTTCCTGTCAGCGGCTGACAGTTAACCGCCACCATCACGTCATGTGGTCCGAAACAATCTGGTGTGTATGTGACGCTATATTCACCATCTTTGTCACTTGAAATCACGTGGGTCAGTTCTTCTCCTGAGGGAGACTGGACTTTCACTTGAATCTGATCGTTTTCATCATAAAACTTGTTTCCATCAGAGTCCTTGGTTGTTATTTTAAACGTTGCTTCGCTTCCTAATTTTACTTCCTGTAAACCCCTTCCTTCAGCCACCGACTGCAAAGGATCTGTGGTAACGATGACGACTCGACCCACCGCCGGAACTACGCTTTTCACTTTCTTGACATACTCTTTATTAATCTCGTATTTGACATGCGATGGTTTATAAATGTTTAGTTTCCCTGCATTTAGAAGACCTCTACATCGTCCGATAAGTGCATGATGTGCTTGCAAAATTTCAACGCTTTTCTCCCTCAGTAAGATGTCCTCGCAGCACTCGACATGCTCTTGTAACTGATTCTTAGAAACCTGTAAATGTTCTAGCTGCGCAGAGTACTGTCGGTCTTCCTTTCCGTCAATAACATCCAAACTAGTTATCATAGCTTTCTCATGTTCATGTAAAAGTCGGATAAGTTCTTCAACAGATGTCATTACTTTATTGCGCGCGGTAGAAATCCTTTCTCTGCTTTTTCTCAAGGAATTCTTTGTTTTTTCCGCGTGCTCTTCATGATCAGCGATTTCTATTTTCATTTCTTGTACAATCTTCTCGATATCAACTTTGTGTTCTTCGGCGGCTTGGTGGATATCCACGGCGGTGTGGTGATTGTGACGGGTCTGTCTACATTTTTCACAAATGCACACTTTGCACTGTTCACAGTAAAACGTCAGAAGTTCATTCTCGTGAGTTTTCTCTCTGCACATCGACGAGGTGTCTGCTATCCCTTTCAGTTTTTGGCTTTTATCTTTGGCAAAACAAAATACAATTAAGATTATAATATACTGAACATATAAACAAAGCTAACACAATTGTCAGGTAAACTACTGTCGTGCATTAGAGTGAGGTTTCACAAAACCAATGCTCCCCTTCCCCAAGAATTCTAATCAGTTTTACAATGTGAGGCGTATTTTAACTACATAAATGATTTTCCTGCCCGTCTGTTAATAACACTTTAGATCCAGAGTAGACAAATTTGACAAAGCAGCTTAGAACGTGATTTTAACCGTTGTGCTCAAGTCAGTACGTACATTTCTGATGCATATCAAAACCGCGCAGGATTAGTTCAGTCAGTAGAGCAGATGGTAGTGGGTTCGATTCCCTGGACCGGACCAACACTCACGGACTAAAAATGACTGAGAAATGAAGGTACTTCTTTTGCCCTGCAGGCGGTTGGACCTTCCGGTGGCTCGGATGAACACGTAAAATGGCGGTCTCGTCTCCAGTGGGAGACGTTAAAAATAGTGTCCCCAATTAGTACTTCCGTACTAAACACATTGACACTCACATGACGTTTCTTTTCTTGTGCTTGAGGGTTTTGGTTTCTGGATTCATTGAATTGAAAATAACTTTACAGGGAAAGAAATCGAAACTTCAGTCTGCCTTTCGACAACCTCGCCTTGTATTTTGCAAGATGGTAGTCAAGTGACTAATAGGATCACGTGACATGAGACAGTTAACCTCCGACTATTTGGGGAGTTTTCAAAGTTTTCAGCCGTTGTCTGTAAGCGCCTTGATAACATATTTACGTTCCCATTAAAGTTATTTATAGCACAAGCTCTGATAATTTTGATGAAAGAAAAAGCCACTCTGTTACTAAATTTCGAACTAATTTTTTAACGTGAGACTTATTTTGATTTTGTCACGCTTTCTTGGTGTTTGTATAGTGCAGTAGACCTTCACCACTCTGGCCACCTAACAGACAAGGCTGGGAAATAGGGACCTTAAGATCCGACGACGTCAACGGCAACGGGAACTCCACAAAAGCAATAGGTTTAATTAGCAAAACAGCAATTTTACACGTGCATCACGCTTCTTTGTACTTTTCTTTGCCGCCACTGCACGACTACGACGTGAAAATGCCTAATTTCACGATGTACAGAGAAAGTACACAAGCGACGACCAGATTTTCTCTCTCTTTCTGAACTTGGATATGGTTCTTGGGAATTCAACTTTAAGAGGCTTCGCCTATATTTGATAAAGTTAGTGACTTGAAGTAAAAATTGAAAGCGCGAATTCACTTTTTCAGCGACATTTTCACTGCCATCGCCGTCCTCGGATCTTAAGGTCCCTAATAGCTGTGGAAGGGAGGTGGTCGTTGAAAACAGCTTAAACCAAGAGTCACAGCTATCAGCTGGGACTAAGTAGCCTGACCGAAGAGAGGTGGCCGTTGGTTAAAGTTCGATTGTGGCTGCTCAATTCCCTACTCACTTACCTGCACCATTGGCAGGTGTCACATTTGACGCCATCAAGTCATCAAGTTTCTTTGAAAGTCTTTTAACTTCGGTACCAATTTCTTTTACCTCCGTGCCAACTCCCCTGATGCCTGTGTCACATTCTTTAATGTTATTACCAATTTCTTCTATGTCGGTGCCAAATTTCTTAATGCCTGTGCCAAATTCTTTTATATTAGTACCAATTTCTTTTACATCAGTGCAAAGTTTTTTCAATTCATCTTTTATGTTATCTTCATCATTTTTCCACTGACGAAGGAGTTCTTTGTAATGGTGCTCCATATCGGGATCCATGCAGCAAAATTCCAAGTTGTCAATAGCGACCTTGAAATAGACCATGTAACATATAAATCGTTGCATTAGTAAGTCAAAGTATTAGCCATTAAATGAGAGAGGACGAGTCCTCAGTGGTCATGGTTGTTACTGAGGTAAGGATAAGCGGATATCATATTGAACATTTCGAGTCTAGCTTACCTTGTATGTAGCCCCTCCTAGCCGTACTAGAGTGTCTCGGATCTCCTTCCAGTTTGTGTCAAATGTTGCATCATCAATGGAAGCGTGCTCAGCGTGAGCGTACACTGTATTCCTAAAGTACTTTACGCGCGCAATGTCCGCCTCACGGCTCAGGTCTGCGGCAGCAGGGAGCACGTCCCATCCTGTTACCGGAGGAGTGAGACCGCAGATGTTGCGCAACAAAGCCATCAGTAGAGTGATGTCAAAATGTTTTGAAGACACTGAAGCAGGGATTGCGGGAAAAAGCTTTCCCCATTGAGTCGCAGTGATAATCCTACGTGATCTTAGAGACTTCAATGTGGGTTGACTAGCTGCTAAGAACGTGTGTAGGGTTGGTGGTGCACAGATGGCATCAAAGCAATCTCTGAGGGCACAAGTGCCCACATCAACAAGAACACGGCATAACCTGGCATAATTAGTTGTTTCTTTTGTAGACGGCGTTGTAGTTGTAATAGAGGCCATGGAAACGAAGTGATGATATGTTTAACCTACGAAAACAATGTATGGTGGTATGAGTAAGTGACACAGGTCACCGGATACCTTGATTTTAAGCCTAATGTCCAACACCAAAGATTTCAATAAAAGATACTAAAGCCGGCCAATGCGATTTCTCGCCAAGGCGAACGTAGCGGCTGCATTCCTGAGACTCTCCTCCCCTCCTTTCAAGTGTTACAGTCAGCAACATAGTCGTGCTACAAGACATAGTAACACTAATTTTATTTGCCCGAGATTTAATCGAATGATCGAGGGCGGTAGATCATTCGCAGTTACTACTTGTCAACTCTGGAACAGCTTAAGTCGGGAACTCAGGAATTCTGCATCAACAGAATCTTTTACGAATAATTATAGAAACAAACTTTTTATTATAAAGCAGAAACTACATCATTTTATAGTTTAATTTTTTTAATTAATCATTTGCTCTTAAGATACATCTTATTTTTGTTATAATTCTTATCATATAGATATTTTATAGTTCTATAGATAGACATGTTAGAATTTAACATACATTTTATCATTTAGCTCTTACATTTCTATGTACTCTTTGTATAAACAGGATATTATTTTTATTATAATTTTAGATAGAGTGCCGCCCTCTTTAAATAAACTTTATTATTATTATTATTATTATTATTATTATTATTATTATTATTATTATTATTATTATTATTATTATCATTGTTTACCCACCCCCACGCCCAGGGTCTGCACGGGGAGGCGTTCTCTCATATGGGAAATTCATTTTACTTCCAAAGGGGGTGGGGGAACTCCTGTCCTATGTTCAATGTGCGAGTCCCTCTATCAGCCGGATGCCTGTAAGCAGTGTTATTCTGCAGGCCAGACCAGTTGAGTAGGAATATCATAAGCTTTTAAAAGAGATTTAAGGCAAAAAAAAAAAAATTAATTTCAGCTGTAATTTGGCATGAAATAAATGGCTTTGTTACAAGTGACGCATGTGACGCACGTGGTAAGATTATGATTGGCTAAGAAAACGCCAACCGGTCAAACCAGTTTGTGAAACAACTGTCATTATTTTGAGACAATTGAGACTTTCGTTGTTTTGCGTAGTTCTCGAAATTTCGGATATATAAAATTACACATTTTTAGACCTGCAAGTACAAAAGTAATCTATGCTTCGATGAAAACTGCTACCGGAAATTCTTATCGTGCTATTAAAACACGTCATATGAACCTTCAAATGTTGACAAAATATTCATTTAGGATTTTTGTTTGGACAGGAGATTTTACCTCCTGCGCGAAGACCTGTCAAACAGGTTTTGTACTGTACAAATCCCAACCGTAAAAATAACCAACTTAACAGTTTCGTGGGATATTGAAAATAATTTTCTACGTTTCCTCTATAATAACCGATACAGTTAAATAATAAACAGCAGTATTTTACTCCCTGATGATATTTCTACAATTCGATCAACATGTTTTACCCAATACAGATCTCAGCGAGGTCCTACTTGACAACGACAGAGGGACTGACCTAAAACTTATCTTTTGTTTGAAAGTGGCAGCTTTCAGTTTCTGTAACCCTCTTGATCGACTTGCCGCTAAGGTTTTAGAGATTTAGATCGCAATGTTTTTAACTTAACAACAAGTCATGTTTAAAATAATTTTGTAGGTACTAGGCAACTTTTATCGGCGAGCTTTTAATTTACTGACTTAACTAAACTAAACTATTAGTAACTATACCGCCCCAGAACATACCCTGTCAGTCTGGTTGTCAATAACACAGAATTATTGACTAAATTGCTGGATATCGAAGCGGATTTAACAACGTCCGGTAAAATGTCACGTTTCAACTTCTACTATTCTAGTATTTTCCCTGTCAAAGCTGTACGGATACCGCAAGCGACCCTCGATGTCGCTGACACCGAGAAACAGATTACGTAAACAAGAACACGGTTACAGCAGCATTCCGTCTCGCCCGCTTGGAGATTAGATCGAGAAATGAGGAGACGATTAATTCTACAAGAAACATGATTTACTCGCTAAAGGTTTGGTTTTTTTTACTTCCTCCTTTATCGACGTCGATACTTTTTATTTTTTTCTGAATTGATTTAGTACGCGTGTTAGCGACGACCAGAAATACCTCTCCAGTAGCAGGCTATACGCGTGTATAAATACACGAAAATTCAAGGCCCTCGATTCTAGAGAAATTACATCATTGCCAGATATCAAAAAAGTGATTTACATGGCACGTCATTTCAATCATCGCCGAAAATAAATCGGATGCTCATCACAAGACCTCATTTGCATACCGTGAAAGTTTACCACACCCGACCATCGCAATTTTGCTAATTAACATTAAATTAAGATTAAGATTCTTATTTTTTTTTCGACCACTCAGTAGTGTTCATTTGTTCCAAAGCAATCAACGCTTTCAAGCGATAGAATTCGTGGACGGACACGTTTCGGAAAAGCTCTAAATTTAATCTGTCTTAAGCTTTCTTCGCAAGACATGCGTGGCTTCAATCATGCAACGATTCTTAGTCCCATTTTCCACGGTCTCCGCAAGGAACGCCTGGCACAATGACCCGCCTTTTGTGACCCAAAATTCGACCCAAAATTCAGGGGGGGGGGGGGGGGGGGGGTACAACTTTTTAACGCGAAATGTAACAACTTTTTGACGCAAAATGAAACAATATTTTTAACGCGAAATGTAACAAGCAAAATGTTACAGCCTTGAAATAACTGAGAGACTTGGACATGAGCCTTGTATGATAAAGTGTAAATTGTCTGGTGGTTACAAAAACAGTTTATTTATAAAGTTTTCTTATAATGTCAAATAAACTTACAAAACGTTTTTCGATAATAGTAACTAAATCCTGACACAGTCGAACGAATTGTTGTTTAGTATATCCTAGTATATTTATAAAGTTGTCTTATAATGTCAAATAAACTTACAAAAGGTCGTAAAACAGGTGATAAAGTTACAAGTCATGTATAACCTTGGAAAAGCAGTATGGACAATAACAACAACGCTAACTTATTAAACATAACATATGGAAAATATCCTAAGCTATGCGAAAAGAATATGACTAGAAATGCGAACGATAACACCGTAGGAAACACGCAAAAGTAACAGTTAAGAAAGGTAATCTTTCAAAAGAAAATTTTGAACGTAGTCTATAAGATAGATGTGAAATTTCTTATTTCTTACCGGACTTCCAGTAAATGTGAGAAATTTTATACCAACCCAGTCCTGATGCCTTAAAACTTAACCATGCCGACGCCCATTTAACACTGTTGATTATCTCACGCAGTCGGATGATTGCTCCGCTACACTTTCCTTTTAGGGAAAAGGGGGGGAGGTGGGTAAAAACAGACAGCGTCGGATAAAAACAGAAAGCGTCTTCACTCGACGAAAGTGTGAAAAGAATGATCAGTAATCGATACTCGCCTCGATTTCATAAGGGCTCAACTCCCTAGAGAGAGCATGCTAAAAATGTACCGTCCTAACCCATCTAATACGTCCCGGATGTTGTAACGCCAACTTTCTTTTCAGCGTCACACAAATGTACAGAAGGATATACTAAACAACAATTCGTTCGACTGTTTCAGGATTTAGTTACTATTATCGAAAAACGTTTTGTAAGTTTATTCGACATTATAAGAAAACTTTATAAATAAACTGTTTTTGTAACCACCAGACAATTTACACTTTATCTACAAGGCTCATGTCCAAGTCTCTCGGTTATTTCAAGGCTGTAACATTTTGCTTGTTACATTTCGCGTTAAAAATATTGTTTCATTTTGCGTCAAAAAGTTGTTTCATTTCGCGTTAAAAAGTTGTTGCATTCTGCGTCAAAAGTTGTTACATTTCGGGTTAATGTTACATTTCTCGTCAAAAGTTGTTACATTTCGCGTTAACGTTACATTTTGCGGCGTAACAGGGATTACTTCCAGAAAAATTGGGTGGGGGTGTGCTGCACGCTTCAAGAGACCCTTACCCTATTTCAGACCAAACTCTGTGATTTTCCCTACCCAATTTCAGACCTGAAGCCCTGCGCGTGACCGGAGCGCGTGACAAGCTGTTAAGGCAGGTACACGGTAGTTGGAGTAAACATTAAAAGGGGAAAGGTCTTATCGCCAAATGATGAAGAAGTAGCTAATTCTTCTAAAAAACATACCCAATTGAAGACTAGAGTGCACAAACCATACCCTATTTCAGACCAAAATGGTCGAAATTGATACCCTCTTTCAGACCAAACGGCTAAAAAACCATACGCAAGCGAGACTAATAAAACAAACAATGGCCATAAAATAATTAAAAGCCCCCGGACTATATCTTGTAGCACGACTATGTTGCTGACGGTAACACTGGAAAGGAGGGGAGGAGAGTCTCGGGAATAAACAAACAATGGCCAAAAAATAGCCCCGGGAAAGATAACTTTATAGTTTGGTTCCTTTCGTGATGACGGTAACGAGTATTAAGCCAATAATTCCCTGTTTGATTTCTCGAGGTTGAGTATTGTGAGAAATCCGTAAACAAATTCCATATCCCTGTTTTATAATTATGATTGGACTTTATACCCACACCGGCAGCAGTCTCGTCATTGAGGTTACTATAAAACGTAAGGGATATCTGCCATGCTCAGAAGTCGAAACTTAAAAATTGTATAGAGCACGAAGAAATCTCTAACTAAAAGCTCTGCAAGCATGAAGTGCGTTGCTTTTAGCGGCGATACAACTGTAACTACATGCATTTTTGCAAATACGGCTGACCTAAGACAAACCTGAAAGATGAAATCTCACCAACTCTTATTTCTGTTATCAAATCACGGGAACGTCGTGAAGTGTTTTATAATCGCAGATAAACTGTTAGTACAACGTAGCTGAAGGGAAAAATAAACACTTGCTGCCGCGGAAGCGAGAATAAATCAGTGATGATTGCAGTAGACACTCTCCTTCGTATCGTTTCTCGCGTGACCTTGTGCACGCGAAGATTGTTT